GGTCGTGTATGTGTGTGTGTGTGTGTGTGTCTGTCTGTCTGTCTGTCAACACGATAACTTGAGAAGGCCTTGATGGATTGTCTTGATACTTGGTAGATGGGTAGGTCTTGATGAGACCTCAAAATGATTAGATTTTGGACCCCCTAGCGGCTTGTTATGGTACTGCAGCTGAACTTCCGGTTTTGATATCTCCAGATCCAGACATGGTAGGGTGACGAAATTTAGATGGTAGGTAGCTCTTGTGCTGGGGAAGAAGTGACGTGAGTTTAGGCCCCCTAGCGGCTTGCTCTAGAACTGCAGGGGGGTTTAAAGGACAAATGTTTAAAAGAGGATAACTCAAGAACCGATTGATGGATCATCGTGATTTTTGGTATGTAGGTAGCTTAAGTGATGCTTGACATAATGATATTACAATTATGCAAATATTGATGTAATTTGCATAATTAATGAGGAAATTCTATAAATCAGCTGCATTCCATGATAGGAAGTTCAAGCTTGTAACATATGTTATTAAGAACGAGAGAAACACAGGCAAATGTTGATTATGCAAATGAAGACTTAATTTGCATAATTACTGAGAAAATGTTATAATTGCGTAGTGGTAACTGCCTGGAATTTCATACTTGGGGTGTTTGAAAGTTAAGTGAAGGTGAACATAAATAACATAACTTATTCAAATAAGGACCACATTTGTATAATTTATGAGAAAATGGCATTCTTTGTTAAGATAAGACTGTCTTTTGGTGGAGAATATGATCAACAGACTGATATAATTCATGCAATTGAGGATCCTATTTGCATAATCAGGGTGATTAGTATATTTCTTATTCATAAAGGCTAACATCATTTGGCGAAGGTATGAGATCGTGGAACTCTAGTTGTGGATGTTTTTTTACAGTTTTTTGTAGGTAGCATGAGTGTGGAAAGGGAAGGTTAAGTTTGAATTGGGGCATTCTAGTGGCTTTCTAAGGTATTTCAGCAGCACTTATAGGATTGACATGTAGCTTCAAATGTAAGTTAGGAGGGTAAAGGTATTTGAGGTAGTGGAAACAGATGGTCAGTGCCACGGGGGGGGGGGCAGATGTTTGTAACGTTAGATGGCACCATGAAGATTCAATTTTGTCGGCACCGGCTATTCTAGTCCCTAGGTAGTTCAGGCTCGTTTGTATGGTGCCACTCACATCCTTTGGTTCACAAATCACCAGCAAAATAAATGTCAAACTATATACAGCGGCATATTTCTGACAGCCCAAACTCATACATGATGAAGGTATGAGGAATTTGAGCTCTTCTTTGAGATCATTTTTGCATCGATATATCCTTTTCAAATGCAAAACCTTCTTTTAAAGCATAGTCACTTACGTTGGCAAGTTGGAACATCAGCACTCCAAGTTTCGTCCGCCTGACACGTTGCACTAGAGGCTCCGCCCGGGGCCAGTTCGTATCCCTGATCACAGCTGTACGTGACCTCGTCCTCGTAATAGTACGGTCCTTCAGAACTCTGAGCTCCATTTTCTGGGGCCATCCGATATGGGCATTGCACGCCTAAAACCAAGAAACGTTGTAAGGAGGATGTCCAGAATACAATATGTGGTAAATCTCGATAAATAGATAAAACATGTTACTCGTTTATTGCCTCATTATTATTTTTTAAAGAGTTGATTTAACATCTCTAATTTTTGCATCATTTTTAAAGGGACAATCTTGTTTTAGAACCTAGGTACTTACGTTGACAAGTTGGAACATCATCACTCCACATTGTGTCCGCCTGACACGTCGCACTAGTGGATCCATCCAGTTCGTATCCCTCATCACAGGTGTACGTGACCTGGTCCCCGGAATAGTACGGTCCTTCAGAACTCTGAGCTCCATTTACTGGGGCCATCCGATATGGGCATTCCACCCCTAAAACCAAGAAACATTGTAAGGTGGATGTCCAGAATACAATATGTGGGAAATCTCGATAAATAGATAAAACATGTTACTCGTTTATTACATCATTACTATTTACGAAAGAGTTATTACCTTCGTCAGAAGGTTATAAGTTTAGGTACACCATACATAGGGGTTGCTGATTTTCTAATCGGTTATAACTTGGGTTGTGATGTATGTATCATGTAGCTTCAAATGTATGCTAGGGTAAAGGTATTTGAGGTGGAGGAAACGGATGGTCACAGCTTGGGGGTGGGGGGGAGACAGATGTTTGTAACGTTAGATGGCACCATGACGATTCAATTTTGTCGGCACCGGCTATTCTACTCCCTAGGTATTTCAAGCGACCAAAGGCTCGCTTGTATGGTGCCACTAACATCCTTCGGTTCAAAAACCAGCAAAATAAAATTCAAAGTATATACAGCGGCACATTTCTGACAGCCCAAACTCATTCATGATGAAGGTATGAGGTATTTGAGCTCTTGTTACCTTCGCCAAGAAGGTTATGTTAACTTTTCAGTAGCGTTTGTCCGTCTGTCTGTTTGTCCGTCTGTCCGTTTGTCCGTTTGTGAACAGTATAACTCAAGAAGCTTAATATGCATTGTCATGAAACTTGGTATGTAGGTAGGTCTTGATAAGATCTGGGAATGATTAGATTTCGGGCCCCCTGGCGGCTTTTGTTGGTACTGCAGCAGAACTTCCGGTTTTGATATCTCGCGATCTGGACATGCTAGGGTCACGAATTTTGGTTGGTAGATAGCTCTTGGGGTAGGGAAGAAGTGACATGAGTTTGGGCCCCTAACAGCTTGTTCTGGAACTGCAGGAGCATTTGTTGAAACATTTTCGAAGGAGATAACTCAAAAACCGGTTGACGGATTGTAGTCATTTTTGGCATGTAGATAGCGGAAGTGATGCTTGGCATAATCAGATGACAATTATGAAAATCAGGAGCTAATTTGCATAATTAATGGCTACATTCTAAAAATCTGCTTTGTTCGATAATAGGACCATGGAACACTTGTGACATGTACTTGAGAATGAGAAAAACATATGAGGATGTAGATTATGTAAATGAAGACCTTATTTGCATAATTAACGACAAATTTCTATGACTTCATAGTTGTAATTGCTGGGAATTTCATACTTGCTGCATTTGGAAGTTAAGTGATGGTCAACATCAATAAAGATAATTTATTCAAATTATGACGTTTTTTATTAAGATAAGGCTGTCGTTGGGTGGAGAATATGATCAACTGATGTAACCCATGCAAATGGGGCTCTTATTTGCGAAATCAATGATTAAAATAGTATAATTCGTCAACCGGAAGGTTTAACGTCATTTGGCGAAGGTATGAGATCGTGGAACTCTTGTTTTCAAGCATAGTCACTTACGTTGGCAAGTTGGAACATCAGCACTCCAAGTTTCGTCCGCCTGACACGTTACACTAGAGGCTCCGCCGGGGGCCAGTTCGTATCCCAGATCACAGCTGTACGTGACCTCGTCCCCGAAAAAGTACGGTCCTTCAGAACTCTGAGCTCCATTTTCTGGGGCCATCCGATATGGGCATTGCACCCCTAAAACCGAGAAACATTGTAAGGAGGACGTCCAAAAAACAATATGTGGTAAATCTAGATAAATAGATGAAAAATGTTACTCGTTTATTTCGTTATTGTTTACGAAGGAGTTATTACCTTCGTCAGAAGGTTATAAGTTTAGGTACACCACACGTGGTAGGGGTTGCTGATTTCGTAATCGGTTATAAATTGGGGTGTGATGTATGTATCTTTATAATATTTTGTAGGTAGGATGAAGTTCGGAAAATAAAGTTCAAGGTCAATTTTGGGTACACTAACGGTTTGGAAGGTACTGAAGTGGGGTACATGGGTATGATATCTCGTGCTGTCGACATGCTATGGTCTTGAATTTTGAGTCGGACATAGATGTTTGGGCAATAGGTATCTGGTGTGGTTTTCAGCAAAATAACTGCTTTTTTGAGCTTCTGTGGTCATTTTATGATGGAATGTGACAAGACGGGATAACTTTTTTTGTTGTGGATGTTTTTATACAGTTTTTTTGTAAGTAGCATGAGTGTGGAAAGGGAAGGTTAAGTTTGATTTGGGGCATTCTAGTGGCTTTCTAAGGTATTGCAGCAGCACTTATAGGATTGACATGTAGCTTCAAATGTAAGCGAGGAGGGTAAAGGTATTTGAGGTAGTGGAAACAGATGGTCAGTGCCACCGGGAGGGGACAGAATCTGATGTTTGTAACGTTAGATGGTACCATGACGATTCAATTTTGTCGGCACCGGCTATTCTAGTATCTAGGTAGTTCAGGCGACCAAAGGCTCGCTTGTATGGTGCCACTAACATCCTTTGGTTCACAAACCAGCAAACTAAAATTTAAAGTATATACAGCGGCACATTTCTGACAGCCCAAACTCATACATGATGAAGGTATGAGGTATTTGAGCTCTTCTTTGAGATAAATTTTGTATCGTTTTCAAAGGCAAAACCTTGTTTTCAAGCATAGTCACTTACGTTGGCAAGTTGGAACATCAGCACTCCAAGTTTCGTCCGCCTGACACGTTACACTAGAGGCTCCGCCCGGGGCCAGTTCGTATCCCTCATCACAGCTGTACGTGACCACGTCCCCGTAATAGTACGGTCCTTCAGAACTCTGAGCTCCATTTTCTGGGGCCATCCGATATGGGCATTGCACCCCTAAAACCAAGAAACATTGTAAGGAGGATGGCCTGAATACAATATGTGGTGACTTCGAAAATAGATAAAACATGTTAGTTGTTACTAGTTTATTACTATTATTATTTGATTGGGATAATTGTGTATCGTTTTCAAAGGCAAAATCTTCTTTTAAAACCTAGGTACTTACGTTCGCATGTTGGAATCGCAGCACTCCATGTTCCGTCCGGCTCACACATCACACTAGAGGGTCCGTTCAGTTCGTATCCCGGGTCACAGGAGAACGTGATCACGTTTGGGTAAAGGTAAGGTCCGGCAGGACTCCGATCCCCGTTTACTGGGGGCATCACATCTGGGCAATAGTTCGCTAAAACCCCCAGGAAACATTGTAAGGAGGATGTCCAGAATACAATATATGGTAAATATCTATACATAGATAAAACACATTTCCAGTTTATTGCCCTACTATTATTGTTCATCAATTGAAATAATTAATTGAGGTATTTATGTGTTATTTCTTGTTTTAAAACCTAGGTACTTACGTTCGCAAGTTGGAACAACATCACTCCATGTTTGGTCCGACAGACACGTCACACTAGGGGCTCCGTTGAGTGTATATCCCAGGTCACAGGTGAACGTGACCACGTCCAGGTAAACGTACGGTCCGTCAGGGCTCAGAGCTCCATTTACTGGGGGCATCAGAGTTGCGCATGGCAACGCTAAAACCAAGAAACATTGTAAGGAGGATGTCCAGAATACAATATGTGGTAAATCTTGATAGATAAATAAATAAAACAAGTCACTCGTTTATTACATCATTATTATTCATGAAAGAGTTGAAAGAGATAATTTTGCAGTCAAAGGCAAAACCTTGTTTTGAAACCTAGTCACTTACGTTGGCAAGTTGGAGTAGGGGCACTCCATGTTTGGTCCGCCAGACACGTCACACTAGAGACTCCGACCAGTTCGTATCCCTCGTCACAGCTGAACGTGACCTCATCCTGGTACTCGTACGGTCCGACAGGACTCATAGCTCCATTTCCTGGGGCCATCGGAGTTGGGCATTGCTTGGCTAAAAAGATACAAACACGTTCGTTATCATGAAGTAAGATGTAGACACGATGGAAAAATTCTGTAATGAACTAGAGAACATCTCAATACTGATAAAGAATGCGGCACGCATTGATGTACATATATCACTAGCAGCACGTTTGATGGTATACCGGTTACATAATGTCACATCCTTTTTTTCTTCTGGATTTTTCTTAAAGCTAAAATAGGATAGTTTGACAGAGTTAGGACAGTATTGAGAATCGCAATGTCAAATCATGGCTACTTTTATCCGTAGAGCAAACTTATTTGCTTTTAGTATTGAGGTTCTGCAATCCCATCAGTAAGAGCGATCAGCGGTTCCGGCTGTCTATCTTTTCCCAATAATACACAATGGAACATCTATCAAACAAGTTACTTTTCATTTATAGTAGAAGGCTCACGTGTTTCACAGTGATCTCCTTCATAGCCAGGAGCACAGTCACAGGTATAGCTGTCGTCGGCACCGTTCACGCAAGTTCCGCCATTTTCGCAGGTCACACCTATCAAAATGGAAATACTTTTAATAACTTGGCAATGAAAGGGTATTGCCATGCTGACGGTGTTTTGTTTATCTTGTATTTTCAATCATTCGCTCAACACGTCAACAATATTCATCTTCCCTTCTTACAAGAAAAACTCAAGTTCTATATATATATTTGCTTGGAGACTAGGAAAGGTGCTGTGAAAATACACTATCAGGTTAGCCCTATGTAATGGTGCTGGGTAGTAGCTCTAATTTGTGGATAAACATAACCCGAGGTAACGCGAGATGTGGGGTCGTGTGGCGCAGTCGGTAGCGTTCGGCTCACACCCCAGAGGTCGCGGGTTCGAACCCTGCCCATGTCACCGATCTTGTGCCCTTGAGAAAGGCACTTAACACGACTTTCCTCACTTCACTCAGGTGGAAATGAGTACCTAGCTTCGGTTAGGGACGTCCCTCGGATAGGACGTTAAATGGAGGTCCCGTGTTTGGGAGAGCCACAACTCATGCACGTTAAAGAACCCACCGCACTTATCGAAAAGAGTAGGGCTCTTCCCGGTGTGAGTGGTTCAAAACCTTACAGTCCGGTCTTACGCAGCTTGTACATGTACGCACATGTACAAAACTGGTTTGTTACGCCTAAAAGCGGTTTACCGGTTATGCGAAACAAACAAACAAATACAACTCACAGAGCCAGAAAAGCAATCAAAACTAGCCCATACGCTTGTCTACCTAAAGGCACTACACCTGTGACTACACTTAGCTTGATCTTCGCTACAAGACCGAGAAGTGATCTACATCTGCTTGGAGGGAGCTCCTCGCGTTATGGTGTTCACAGCCACATTACAGAAACTCCTTATGGAATTCCTGGCAATTGAACACATAACATACATTATTAGGCTACTCCCAAAGAAGAAAACATCTTAAAGAAATGAATTATCGTAAAACTATGTCTCACCACAACAGGGTACAACGCAGTGGCATCCATATACACCATCCACGAGCGTCCAGTAGTAACCATCGGCTTCTTGACATGTCACTGGTTGACAATCGGCGAACAGAAACGTAAAGAACAGCACGCATTCGCATTGTTGTCCGTCTTCTGTTCCCCATGGCTCTCCGAGCTATAGAATAAGAAAAATAATGAAATGAAGACGATACATTACGATTATCAGTAGATGGACAGTGTGCCCACACTTTATATTACTTCCTTGTCCACATAATTGTGCATTGTCACACAAATTCATGTTATGTTCCTCTACGTATTAAGAGTTGGGTGGGGTTTTGGTTGAAACAGGCACTCCTAACATGTACATAATGGCTAACATGATCAGAGCGGTGGCATACAGTACATTTGTACACTTGTGCATTCGCGATAAAATTGCATACCGGATGGTAGTTGTCATAAATGTCTGTGCAACCACAGCCCGAACTATCGACTACGCAGTCCCGGTCACTTAGTATGTAGCCGTCAACGCACTCGCAGCCTTCCACACAAGGTTCGTCACAGTTGTCTGGGGCGTCGGGGTTCACGCACGTCGCAGGGCAGGCGCTCATGCATGAAGAGTAGACGCTGTTTGCTGGACAATCCATTTCTATCGAAAACAAAGAGTTCATTACAGTTGATAGATTGTTCAAGTTGTGAAAACAGGACTACATCTACAGTAGGAAATACAATTTTGTCGTCATCTATAAATCACTCATTCAGCCGTTCATAATCTACGGCCCAGTTTTCGCCTGGTATGTTGCTCGTGTAGTCTCTGCTGGGTAGATCTGGGAAAACTGCTGAAACACATACTCTGTAACAACCGAAGATTGAGTCTGAGAACGGAACTTACGGCAGAGGTTGTCCGACCGCCAAACAAAGGGAGACACGCCTGCTTCCATGCAGCAGTCATAATATGTCTCTAAGGTCGGGCAAAGGTAATTGTCCTTTGCACAAGCGTCGGAGACGCAGTCGTCATAGTAAGGCGTAGGATCCACAGCGGCATGGCAAGCAGCAAACGGACCGTTCGCATCCAACAGCACGTCACACTGGTCTGTGTACATCGGGTCACACGGTCCAGGGGCCGGGGGTTCACCTGTAGGAAGGTCACCACAACTGTGGTGGACAGAAAATGTCAAGTTGCAAGCATGGAAACACGTTTAAAAAGAGTAGTGATTATATTTTGGAACTTTTTTCTTTCGTCAATATTGGTCCTCTCTCAGATAATCAAAAATCCATTCACAGCTTCTTGAGTTATGCTTTTGACATACACTCAGCCAACAGTCACTCTAAAAGCTGGGCAAAACCAAAAACATAATCTGGTAATGCCAACGCACCACAGATTCCCGTAGTTAACATGCCTGGTAAATGCCAGGTAAATCTACACATTTACGGACGTGTTAATGTTGATAAATCTCCTGATGGACATCACACTTACGTTAAGTCCCACGTTCCTTGCGCTACTCCGGGCTGGGTCTGCCAGCTGTTTCCGAACTGGTTCTCGTTGGCGGCTTGGCTCCCATCCGGCAGCATCAAGTCATCGGTCGCATCGCCGTTGAAGTTACCGCACAATCCACACAGATGACCCTCGTAGTTCCTTGGAATCTCCATCTGTAACAGTGTTATATATGCATTATAATTTCTTTCCTAAGATGCTTCTTAGGATCTTGACTCTTGTTTCGGTGAATTTATACACGTCATGTAAGACGACAGTCCTTTCAATCAGACATCGCATAGCACTAACGTTATATCACAAAGGAGAATAAGTATAACTCACAAAGCAGAGAATCACAGACTGAAGCTGGCAGTACACACCGTATCGGAATATAGAATCATTATAAATGCGCAACATGTCAAAATGAAGAATAGTCATAATTGTCTGGAGTGTGCTCACCTTAACATAATGTACCCCATCGTAGTAAACCACCACGCACAAGTCCACCAGCTCTAGTCGGACGAACCTTCCGGTCAGATGGATCTCGATGTCGCCATTTGCTAGGCTGACAGGAAGCGCATAGCGAACTCCATCGACCTTGTTTAAAGAAGAATGTAGTCAGTTATTCAGAGACAAAAAAACACAGTAAAACTGACTACGATGTTAAGACAAAATCTTAGTTCATCCTACGTTACAAAATCTGTTAAAACATTAGCAGTGATGCATTTGTCATAGAGATTCAGTGTGAAGACCGAGCTAAACTTAGTACAACTTTGATGTCCCCCGAATTATTCACTTGATCAGCTTGAACAAAGGTGTTTCGTTTTTTTCAACAAATTGCTATCACAATCTTCTCTTGGACCAACAAAACACTCACTCACCAGTACAACTTTTTCTTCAAGAAGACAAATTATAAACGTATTCACGCCAATGGTTACTGTCACGTACACTGCACGGATAGCAGTAACATCTGGATTCTCGTCTAAGGGGACGTGTTTTGTTTCGACGTTGAAGGTGTTGCCTGTGCAGTCCTTGGCGAACGTGTACAAGCCACATCCTTGGTAATCATGGCGACCCACGTCAGGAGTAAGGGTGTGTGGGTCTCCGGATGCTTTGCAGATTGTTCTATCTGGAATATCAAAGAATGTCTTGTAAGAAGGACAAAGGCATTGTACTCGTAGAAAAGCCTGGTACAAAGATGAATTCATACCTGTGAAGTATGGAGAAGCAGCAGTGCTAGCAACATAATTTGGTTTACCAGTAAAAAAAAACCATCAGTAACGTCAATTTTTAGTAACGTCAATTTTTAGTAACGTCAAGGAAATTGAAAATGCGTCCATTTTTCACTAATGAAACTGGAAATGCGTCAATTTTTCACTAAGGAAGCTGGAAATGCGTCCATTTTTCACTAATAAAACTGGAAATGCGTCAATTTTTCACTAAGGAAGCTGGAAATGCGTCAATTTTTCACTAAGGAAACTGGTAATGCGTCCATTTTTCACTAAGGAAACTGGAAATGCGTCAATTTTTCACTAAGGAAACTGTAAATGCGTCCATTTTTCACTAATGAAACTGGAAATGCGTCCATTTTTCACTAAGGAAACTGGAAATGCGTCAATTTTTCACTAAGGAAACTGTAAATGCGTCAATTTTTCACTAATGAAACTGGAAATGCGTCAATTTTTCACTAAGGAAACTGGAAATGCGTCCATTTTTCACTAAGGAAACTGGAAAATGGATCAAATTTTCACTAAGGAAACTGGAAATGCGTCAATTTTTCACTAAGGAAACTGGAAATGCGTCAATTTTTCACTCATGAAACTGAAAGGGAAGCATATCTTTTACAATCTCTCTATGTATATGTAAGATACCATAATACAGATACCACAGTGATTAAAAAAAACATGTAATACAAATTAAAACTGCATAGTAAAGAGAGAAATGAACTTTAAAGGTTTGTGCAAAACCTATTCCCCTATTTCATACGCTTTTAAAAGTACTGTAGAAAATTTATGTTTCTAATGCAATTAGACAAACCATCAATCGAAAAACATATCTGTCCGTTTATATTTACCATAACTGAAAAGCGAGGAGAAGTTGAATTTATATAACGGTACTTAGTTTCTTTTTATACCTGTATCTTGTTTTGTTGTGACCTGTACTTAGCCAAGTGTGGCACAAATGTACAATAATTCATTAAAACCGACTACAAAGTAGTAAAACTATCTCTCACCACAGCAGTCGCCTGTGCAGTCGCATCCATAAGCTCCATCCACAAACTCCCAGGTGTAACCTCCATCTCCATCACAGTCAACTGGGTTGCAAATGATGATCCCTCCTGTAGTGCATTCGCATTCTTGCATATCTGGTGTTGTCCATACTTCATTGAGCTAAAGTGTCCAAAAACAATAGTTCCTATGACACAAACCTTCACGAAGAAATCGTGGTGTTTGCGATGTGCGCTAAAGTTTGGTACCCTAGTTCACTATCGACATGCCGAATTTCAGACAATTGCATTTTGATTTCTAGATGCGAAGACATAGGCCCGAACAAAAGCAAGTTGTTCAAGGTATAAAAGTCTTATCTTAGGAAAGAAGCCTATTTTAGCATTTCCTCCTCACCATAAATAAGGCCCTGATGCAGGTTTATATCTAATAATGTTCAACTTTTCAACTGTACTTACCTTCCAGTTGCCGCAAGAATGAAATAATCATCATTTATCATTACAAAATTATAGTATTATATTACCAATTATGCAAATCAGATCCTCATTTGCATAATTAATATTTATCAATGCTCATTTCTATCTCAGTTCTATCGTCATATGTTTGAGGGTCCTATCATCTAATGCGACGGATTTACAAATGTTACTCCTTAATTATACAATTAGCCTCTGATCCACATGATTTGTACCTAATTTTCTACTTCATCACTTAATCTATCTACACACCAAACATCATGGCGATCTATCAACCCCATCGACGGTTATTCTCTTGCATTAAAGTCTGAAACAAAACCGGTCCCTGCTATACACAGACATTCAAACGGTAACATCTGCTTGGAGATCAGATAAACGTCGGTGCTTGGAGGACATTGGCTAGGCTGAATGACAGAAATGCTATACAATAACTGATGACTGTTCCAAACTTTTCAGACGTGGGTGTGGTAATATTACTAATCCCGTAGGAGTCACGAAATATAATGAAGCAGATCAACAAGATAGACATATAGTAGACTAACGTAGCACAAAAGAATGACACTACAAAAATACAATAAACTGACCTCATAATATGTACCGGTGTCAGGATCGATACATCCGCAATCGGGTTGTTCAACACAGTTGTTCTTACTCCAGACGCGGGTACCATCACACTGGCAGCCGTCCGTAACGCCTAGAGTACACGAATTCGGGGCGGATAGATCCTGGCAGGTCGCAGGGCAGCAGGTTGTGCCAATTGTGAACACGCTGTTTGCTGGACAAGGGTTGTCGAACAAGCCTGTCCCCTCTCCGCAAACTGCAGGTCAAAGAGTTTAATTATTCTTTGAGAATTGCGTTTTGAATCTTTAAAATGCATCTAAGTAACAGGAACCGGAAACGTTAACTATTTTAAAAATTATATACATTTATATATACATGTTTAAAGATGGCGGAAGAGTGCGGTCACGCTACGGTAGCTCTCCGACGCTAATCATATTTTGAAGACTTTGTGCCGCAAGAAGTTATTTTAAGAGTATTTTGAGAGTATCGAATATATCATATTAGGAATACATACTTGAAGTAATTTCAGAAGGTTTTGGATCTTTAAATTCTGATATAAGGCCACATCGTCTTAATTTTCTGGATGACTTCCGCGCGCGCATTGATTTTCGCCTGTTCTAAAAAAAATATATCACGTCCTCCGAGGCTATAATGGCAATACGGAGCCGGTTGTAACTCTGGAGGATGGCACCCAGGCTGTCGAAGCTTCACGACTCAAGAAGTTACTAGTAGTACATACGTACAGTGCCGATTCACAAATTCCGCAAAAAGCCAGCATGTGCCGGCTTGTCGTATACGTCGCTATGTATACAGTACTGCCGCAACTTCACAATACCAGCTTTGTATTGCTGTGGTTTAGTAACATTTTTATTTTTGGCCAGATTTTTTTATTCGCCCGCGCTCACTAGTTTAGGGGTCTTCAGAGGATGTCATCCATAAAATCAAGTTTGTGTGGCCTAATTTCGAGAAAATGGGTGATTCGAAGAAAACGCCGACAACGCGTCCAAGACGCCGACAACCAAGTCCTATAACAACAACTTGAACAAGCTCCCGGTGGACGAGTCTCTTACTTTTGATTACGAAGATAAGGAGAAGACCCGAATGGGCGGCGTTTAACTGCGCTCAAACAATTTGGAGAGATGGATTCAGTACCACAAGGAATGCCTCGACGAAGACTTTGAATCCAAGAAAGGAACAGCCATCACCTGGAAAACCACGCCGGGAACAACAAGTCTCTCTAACCTGCCTACCACACGGAAACAGGTAAAGGACTTCTGTATGTTCACTTCCGAAGATCAGAGAAATAATAAAAGGTCTGATAGCTCTAGGCGAGTGCACAAAATGGTGGGTTGATAAGGTATATACAGAGATGGGCAACATCAACACAAAGGTCAAGGTCAATTTCTAAAGATGGCGCCCAGTGCTTCAGGGACACTGTAAACAGTTTTCCGACACAAGAGCAAATACACGCCAGTACATCAGCATGATGTTGACGAAAAACCAACTATGCCAAAGCGCACCATCCCTCGAATTTTAGAAGGTCTAGAAACACCAGGTTGTAGTGATACTACGGAACAGCTGCAGTATAAGTCCAAAAATGACGCCAAGTGTAATGATGAAGCAATTAAAAATGGCGTGGGGTCGTGTGGCGTAGCGGCAGAGTGCTCGACTCGAAACCAAGAGGTCTCGGTTTCGAGTCCTGACATGCCACCGATCTTGTGCCCTTGGGAAAGGCACTTAACACGACTTTTCTCACTTCGCTCAGGTTCGCCGATTCCATATTCAGAGATGTGGATCTAGGACGTGCCTTCCAGGGGAGTTCTGCTAAAATGCACAGGAACAGCACTATCAAGGCGGCGATTGACAAAATGAAGAACATCAAAAAGACTCCACAACCAAAACAGTCATCATTCACCTTGGAGTATGGGCATGCCCCGGTGTGCGATGGTCCAAATACTACTGTCTGGGAGTTGGCGATACACTACAAACAAGAGTTCTGAGATCTCATACCTCCATGAAATATGGGCTTGCTTTGTCATACTTCATTTCAACATGTCCTCATTAATTATGCAAATAACCTCTACATTAACATAATATATGCATAGTGGTGCTAACGTTTAAGTAACTTACACATGTCACGAGGTATAAAATTCCCATCATTCACCAATAAGGAGTCGCATACACTACATGGCGATACACAAAATTTTCACATCAATTATGCAAATCAGGTCATCATTTGCATAATCTGATTTCCGCCTGCCACAGATTAAATAGATTACATGTATAGCAGTACCATTATGTAAAACACTGTAATTATAGAATTTCCTCATTAATTATGCAAATTAAGTCCTCATTTGCATAATTTGCATTTAATTATGTACAAATCTCTCTCTCAGGTACCTACATACCAAAGATGATGAAAGTACGTTGTTCCAATCTGGACTTATTGGCTTTGAAAGTTTTCACCAGAAACGAACCTGCAGTTCCAGAACAAGCTGCTAGGGGGACCAAACTTACACCAATTTTTCCTGACAAGATAAGCTATCTGTCACCAAAAAAATAAAGACCATAGCATGTTCAGGACAAAAGATACAAAAACCGGAAGTTCTGCTGCAGTACCAAGGTCATCCACCAGGAGGCCCATATTTGACCGAGACCTTCGTCTTCCTAAGACTTATCAGCATACCAAATATCATCACAATCCATAAAGGCGTTATGAAGTTATGCTGACTAAAAATGTGCTTAAACAGAGAGAGAGAGAGAGAGAGAGAGAGAGAGACAGGCCAAAAACAATACCTCCATTTTTCATGGAGGTAACAACATTTGCTGTTTAGAGCTGCATGGCTTCATTTGACGGTACGTATCCGGTTCGCTACACCCCTACCATCTCTCATTATGTTTTTATGTACACAAGAGCCAAAATCCACAATGCTTTCTGAAATACTGCTTTTACTCGTTAGCTGTGACCTGTGCTCATCAAATTGGATTTCCTTTCCAGGTAATCAAATATGTTTTATTATTCTTGTAGTTGTTTATAAAGTTATATATATATCATTATTGTTTATTGTCCACATTTGTGTGCATATGTTTCTAAATGCATAACATTTCTCTATAAGTTGTGCCTTCCGCCATGAGTGATAGAGCTGTTTTTCTCATTTCGTTTTAGTCCTGAGCATGCATGCTATTTAGCCGTGATATGCAGCCTGCCCTATGCTATGGAAAACCTGTCACAGATCTACGAACCCTGCTTCACGCATGCATCGACTGTTTGTCAGCAACTAGGCACTCCTGCCCACCAACAGTGTGATGTTATGTGGTACCTCTCGCTGCATCGCACTGAGCGAAAACATTTTGCCCTCACCGAAGCTACCTCTACCATCTCCTCAGATAATTCTACTCTAAGAATTTAAAAAGAAAAGAAAACATAACCGACGTTCTGGCGGCGGACCTTCCCGCAATGATTTTCACGTAGGTGTCCCAAATAGCAAGGGGGGGGGGTGACGCGTTCGATCAGGGACAGTCTATTGCAAAGTGTGTGTAGAATAGTAACTAGTCATTAACCGTGATACGGATTGATATGCCTATTCCTGATACACCCCGAGTTCTTCTGAGTAACTCGAATTCATATGTATGACAAGAACATTTTTACAACGAAGGGTTTGAGTACTTCAATTATGCAGTGTCTTCATGTAGTCTTTGCCCCTCTCGTTGATATAGTATATATGCATTTCTCAACCAGCTGTTTAAGTATTAACTTATGTTTTATTATTTCTGTAAACTGGGCCCCACTGAAAATCAACTTGTCAAAGCTGAGTTGGGCTACCCAGGTGGGTGAAAATGAAATAAATAGATAAATAAAATAAACCATCACAAGCTAGCTGGATTGGTCATGCTGATCAATGGCTCTGATACAACAAAATAGTACTCTGGCATGAATTTTCTGAACATTTGAGAAAAGGAACTGCATTGGTTATTTCTGGAAGGTATACCATATGATAATATACGCCTTCCTTTAGACAGACCAACATTCACCATAGGTGACACGCGTTATCAAAAACTTCTACTTGCAGTCCATTCAAAATCATCTAATGACTGCGTGCGAGAAGAGTTACAGGTAGGCACTTTCCCCATTAATGATATCTGCTAAATCTATAGAATTAAGCTCATTAAATACTGGCACCGTTTGATAAACTTACCTGAGGACTCTCTTCTTCACGATGCATAGAAAACTGTATTTATTGATGTCATTGACTCGATTAATCATGTTAAGGAATTCTCAATTACCAATCAATTAATCGACTGCTGTGTTACTTGAAAAAATACCGAAACTCATGATTAGTCCCACTCGATTGTAGCACTATATCAAAACATATTGCTAGCCCTTATTGTTTTAGTAATTAAGACACTATGTTTTCTTCTATACCTCTTTTTTGTACTTTGTTCCATATTTGTTACCATATAATGCACCATGTACAATTGCCGTGCAAGACAAGTTTTCTGTTATCTGTGACAGTTATAACGACTTAGAAAGTACGTAAATAAGGTTGACGGAAAGCAGCAGAGAATGAAAACAGAAGCACCACAGGCGACTAACAGACGGCTGGCAGCTGTGAGAACTAATATGACGAAACGTAGAAAACTAAGAAACCCGTCTGCTGCATGCCCTTATTCTCCCAATAGCCACTCATGCTTGTGAGACTTGGATATTGAAAAAAAAGTGATGAACGACTCCTATTGGCTTTTGAAATGAGATGTCTGTGGGAAACCCTGAATGTCTCAAGAAGAGACAACATTAGAATCCAGCATGCATGGCTTCATGTGAAGGTACGTATCCGGCTCGAGGCACTACTGCCATCTCTTTATGTTTTTATGTAAACAAGAGCCAAAATCCACAATGCTTTCTGAAGTACTGATTTTACTCGTTAGCTGTGTCTTGTGCTGATTATCATGACATACACTTTCAAGTTAATCAAAGATGTTCTATTATTCTTAGTTAGTTGTCTATAAAGCTATCATTATTGTTTATTGCTCGGGATGGTGTGCTTGTGTTTCTAAATGCATAACATTTCTCTATAAGTTGTGCCAGGGCTGTTTTGTTTTTCTCATTTCGTTTTTGTTCTGAGCATGCATGCTATTTAGCCGTGATATGCAGCCTATGCTTTGGAAAACCTGTCACAGATCTACGAACCCTGCTTCACACATGCATCGGCTGTTTGTCAGCAACTAGGCACTCCTGCCCACCAACAGTGTGATGTTATGCTGCGCCTCTCGCATCCGCATTACGGAGCGAAAACATTTTGCCCTCACTGAAGCTACCTGTATACCCTCTCCTCAAACAATCCTACTCTGCGAATGTACCTTTTAAAAAAGAAAGCATAACAAACCACGTAGCTAGTGCTTAACTTATGTCTGATGGGCACACCCCGAATTTTGCTCTACAAGCTGAGTTACTTGAATTTCTATGAACATGTGCAACAAGAATAATTTCACAACGAGGGGTTTGAGTAATTTTGATTGGGCAGTGTATTAATGCAGTCTTTGCGCCAATCTCGCTGATATAGTATCCATGCATTTCTCAAACATCACAAGCTAGCTGGATTGGTCATGCTGATCAACGGCTCTGATACATGAAAATGGTACTCTGAGATACATTAAAATGGTACTCTGACATTAATTGTCTGAACATTTGAGAAAAGGAACTGCATTGGTTAATTCTGGCAGGTATACCATATGATAATATACGCCTTCCTTTAGACAGACCAACATTCTACATACATGCACGTATTTTTAAAAATTTCTACTTGGAGTCCATTCAAACCCATCTAACGACATCTGCGTGCGAGAATAGTTAGGCACTTTCCCCATTTATGATATCTGCTAAATCTATAGCTCATTAAATACTGGCACCGTTTGATAAACTTACCTGAGGACTCTCTTCTTCATGATGCATAGAAAACTGTATTTACTGTTGTCCTTGACTCGATTGATCATGTGAAATACATTCTCAATTACCAATCAATTAAAAGATTGCTGTGTTATTAGAAAAAATACCGAAAGTCATGATTAGTCCCACTCGAATCCAACATCAAAGACATATTGCTAGCCCTTATTCCTTTAGTAATTAAATTGTTAAGTTTTCTTCTATACCTCTTTTTTGTACTTTGTTCCATATTTATTACCATATAGTGCACCATGTACAATTGCCGTGCCAGAAAATTCTTCTTCTGTTATCTGTGACAGTTCCAGACTTCTAAAGTACGTAAATAAGGTTTGTGGAAATGAGTTACTTTGCATACATTACTCCTAGTTCCGTCATCCTCGCTTTCAAAACAATAAGCACAACATATTCCACAAACATATACCAATCGTGCTTTTTCTACATTAGGATCGAGAGTTGGTGTTGCAAATTTGCATGTTGGAGTGTACTCTTGAAAGAACAAGGCAATTTCAAATTGAATTTTGACCAAAATCCAGGGTCATTATTGTGCATTTTGAATACGAAAGTTGCTAAATAAGTACTGGGCTGGTTAGTACTGTCATCATATATACGTACTAGTAAGCTGAATCCTTCAGTGAAAACGAGGACCCGGCGGAACATGTTTGAATGAAACAACGTCAGCTAATCCTCGTATGTTGCTCACATCAAGATATTCGGTATTTGATAATCGCATCCCTCTACTGGGTAGCTCCCTGGACAATCTCTGACCAATTTCATGCGTCCCCTCGGACAGAATTGCTGGGCTTCAGTCAATTCCCTGCATGGCGGCCTCCTGTGAAAGTCCTGTCCGGCTCCGTTTCCGGGACGGATCCGTGGCTGACTCCTGGGTGACCCCCTGTATGATTTCTCGGCTATAGCGCTAATCTGTCAGCAATTCCTGATCGGCTTCCTGGTCGATTCATTGTTAAAACTGATCAGATACCACCATTATGTTAGGCCTTTGAAAGCTATAGTTAAACTACATTGAAACAAGGCCTCATAAAAGTACTTCCCACATTTCAATCTCAAAAATTCGTCTGTAACAGAAAGTCACAAGGGCGTGCCTCCCAAATATATTAAGAAGGAAACCAGGGCAGTGACCGGTTGAAACTCCCAGGTATAGCAGATATAGCAGTCCCAGATATAGCATAAAGTTATCTTTCACCTAAATTTCTTACTTAGTCGACCTGGGCAGGTCAGATCTAATCACTCAGGCTTGTCATTACGCCTATTCAACTGGTGAAAACAAAACTTGACCACAGCAGTAAAGTTAAGGCCCTACCTCTTCCTTCTAGCCCCAAAGTCTCCAAACTTGACCAAACGTTTCAAGAGAAAATGGATTTTTAAGGATAACTAGGGACTACGATCATATCCTCATTTTGCGGCTTACACTGCGCAATTCAATGGTGGCTGCTTGGCCAATTCCTACGCAGTTCCTGGCTAATTCCTGTGCAACTCTGGGGCCGACTCCATGGCAGCTCTCCGGACAATTCCTAGCCGACTCGCTGAAGAATTCCTGGGTGAATTCCTGGCCAACCTAATGTATTTTCGGATGACTCCCTGATCATGGCAGTGCCTAGGTGGCTTCCCGCACGATTACTGGGTGAGTCCATGTGAAATTTTCGGGCGACTCCCGGTCAATACCTGGGCGGCGCCCTGGTCGATTCCTATGTTTGGCCACGGCCGATACCTCAGCGCTGCCAGGATGGATTCCTAGGCGGCTCCCTGGTCGATTGCTGTGCGGTGAGTTGAAGTTGAGTTCTGGGCCGATCTCAGGATGAACACCTTCCTTATTCCTGGGCGGCTTCCTGCATGATTTCTGGGAACAGTTTTGGAGCGGCTCGCTGACCGATTTCTGGGCCGCTACCGGATCGATTTCTGTGCGGTATCACAGTCTATACATTGGCGGCGGGGCGACTCCTGGGAGGCTTCCTGGCCAATCACTGGGGGACTCTTGGACGGCTCTCCGGTAGGCTCGGATTCACTGCTGACCGACCTGATTTATTACTCAGTTCTTGATTTTACACAAAAGGATGGGTCTGTCGCTGAACATGGTGACCAAAATGTCTTCCTTTAATTTGTCAGAAGAGATTCTCGTCTGATCGAAGTACTTCTACTATCTTATCAAAATGAAGGCCGTATAAAAGTATGTTGCAACTTTGGGTCGTCAAAAAACACATGCTGCACAGAAAAATCATGAGGGGGTCATGTGGCGTAACCAAGGGCCCCCGATCTTAACTCGGGAGAAAATGAGTATGTCTATTGTCCGTTCATGCGTTTCTCCTCAGAGTTAGTAGCGGCATAAAAATAAGGGTGCCATCACCATGTCTCGTGATAAATGTTGGAATAAGAAAAAAAGAAATTATTAAAATCTACACTCACCTTGTGCATTTGTCCCACCGATCGAGACGCACAGCAGAAGAGCCGAGACTAACACCGTCCACTTCATGTTTCTGATGTTCCTGTAAGAGCAGAAAAAATACCCGTTAATGGTCAGACGGAGCCAAATTGGCAAAGACTGAACCATAATAAACTTTGTGCTAATATTCTTAACATAACTGTTTTATGCCCAGATAAAAATGTAATATTTGACAGGCTTACAATAATATTTGTGACATGTATGTAAACTTTGCACGTCAGAGCGAGTGAGCGCATTTCTTACCGTATACCGTGTCTTCAAGAATGTCGTGAAAGTAGAAAAACTTTGGGGCAGCGTTCTGAACCAGTGTCAGCTCCGCGGCGCCCTAACTTCTCTTCTCACAGTTCAAAGAAAAAGATCTTCTAAAGTCGTCGAGAGACGACGTCGAAATACGCCAGCGTGTCAGGTACGGACCGTTTTGTCGCCTCAAACTTGAGCTGCTCCCATTGGTCCGTATTCTTGGAGCATCACAAGATCACCTCTCTACCAATCAGTAACTTCCCCAACTTGTGGCAATATCCTAACTGGTCTACGCAGGTGTCTGTAACATCGCACGTTCTCCTCTGTTGTCAGTAAACAACAACCCACGTAATACATTTGTGACATTTTGTCTTTGATTTGCCTCCCTTTTATCATCACTACTTTGTGGCTGCCTCGTATCGGATGATTAGATTTCTTATAAAATATGACAAAAGAAGCAGCGGTGTAGATGTTATTTAACATTTGACTGTGTAAAAGGCAACAAAATCAACTAAGGCGGTGCCTGATATGTGCAATAATACTACCGACTATATTGCCTTTGATCCCTGTATTTACATTTTGGCACAATATCTTCTCTTTAATCTTGGATAGTGCCGTAAATAGTGAAAAAGGTCTGGGACCCTTTCATCTCCGCTATTAGAATCAATAACTATAAACAGGTAATAAAGCTGTGTGCGCTGAAGTTATTACTTTGGCGTGTTTTCCCAACATGTGTGTGTTCATTGACGACAATGGGACATCAATATAACAGCTCATAGATGGTATCACTGACAGTTCTGGTCTATTTTTATGAAGAAATATCAACAACACGTCTGGAATAATTGATTGGGGTTTATTTGGACAACTTCGTTCTCAATAACAGACGACAAGACGACGCCAATCATACGTTTCGCAGACGCTATTGTTAAAAAACACCTGCGCTCTTCGTATTGATGATTTTTTTTCTACCGAGGCGATCATTTAACCATCTACACACTGTGTGTGTGTGCACATTATGGACACGTGTGTACACAATATACCAATCATTGGATTTTCCTTTATTGTATCAGATATGTTAGTACAGATTATCATAAGGTACTTAACCTGAGGCAGATCGCTTTGATAAAGGAAAGAGACGCATAGCCACCGTCGTTTAATATAGACACCCCCTAATATATAATTCCCACTCACACCTATTGTGAATGATGCAGCTGTAAATTTACATATTTGTAATGTTGAACTCATGCCTCTTCGCTAGACTTCTTTTCAGTTTGTTAGGTAACTGTCAGAGCCAGTGCATCTTTTGATGGTACCCAGCTACATAATGATTATATTGCAGACTCTTCAACTAAAAACCCGGTGTAATTGTATATTAATATTACACTATGGAGTTCCATTTGTATACGTACACCCGCCATGGAAGAGCATAGGAGAAGTGTAAATACACAATGATTTATTGCAGACGATTTTACTTGTGATTACTATTATATATGTTCATGGTTTGTCTCGTCTAAAATGATTAAAACAATAAATCATGATCTTGTGAAATGGTGTTTCGGCTATGATACGTACAATTAATACTCGACAAAGGTCGCTGCAGATAGAGTTAAGATAGAATGTCCAATGTGCTATTTGTTTACTATTTTATATTTTTCTGCACAGTGCAGAGGAGCATCCGGCATTTGAGAGCACTGAGTCCGGCTCGTGCATGTTTTGGTCTGGATTTGGCACATTCGCTGAAAATAAAATCTTTCCGCCGAAAAAAAAAACGGACGAAGAATGTAACCAACGGAGTACCCCTTAAGTTGTGATTGCGATGACATGCCGTCATCTTTCATTGATGCATGACGACATCATTAACAATTTCGAGTCCCTTACGACTCACTCGATACGAATTTAACATAAGTTGCACACTTACATGTATTTCGTTTGTGTCAATGCATGTCAACATACAGCTTCTATAATGTGTGCCTACTATACATATTTGTAATGTTGAACTCATGCCTCTTCGCTAGACTCAATCTTTTCAGTTTGTTAGGTAACTGTCAGAGCCAGTGCATCTTTTGATGGTACCCCAGCTACATAATGATATTACACACTCTTCAACCAAAAGCCCGGTGTAATTGTATATAACACTATGGAGTTACATTTGTATACGTACAACTGCCATGGAAGAGCATAGGAGAAGTGTAAATACACAATGATTTATTGCAGACGATTTTACTTGTGATTACTATCATACATGTAGATATTCATGGTTTGTCTCGTCTAAAACGATTAAAACAATAAACCATGATGTAAAAGCCTCGCTGATGTTTCGGCTATGATAAATAAAATTAATACTCGACAAAGGTTGCTGCAGATAGAGTCAAGATAGAATGTCCAATCCGCTATTGTTTACCATTTTATATTTTTCTGCACAGTGCAGGGCTGCATCCGGCATTTGAGAGCACCGAGTCCGGCTCGTGCATGTTTTTGGTCTGGATTTGGCACATTCGCTTCAAATAGAATCTTTCAACAACAAAAAAGGACGAAGAATGTAACCAACGGAGTACCCCTTAAGTTGTGATTGCGATGACATGCCATCATCTTTCATTGATGCATGGCGACATCATTAACAATTTCGAGTCCCTTACGACTCACTCGATACGAATTTAACATAAGTTGCACACTTACATGTATTTCGTTTGTGTCAATGCATGTCAACATACAGCTTCTACAATGTGTGCCTACTGTGAATTATGCAGCTGTAAATATACATGTTTGTAATGTTGAACTCATGCCTCTTAGCTTGACTCAATCTTTTCACAGTTTGTTAGGTAACTGCCAGAGCCAGTGCATCTTTTGATGGTACCCCAGCTACATAATGATATCACACACTCTTCGACTAAAAACCCGCTGTAATTGTATATAACACTATGTAGTTCCATCTGTATACGTACACCTGCTATGGTAGAGCATGAGAGAAGTGTAAATATACAATGATTTATTGCAGACGATTTTACTTGTGATGACTGTTAGAGGTATTCATGATTTGTATAATATGATTAAAACAATGAACTATGGTGTGAAATCGTCACTGGTGTTTCGGCTATGATAAATAAAAATTGATATTTGACAAAGGTTTGCTGCAGATAGAGTTAAGATAGAATGTCCAATGTGCTATTTGTTTACTATTTTATATTTTTCTGCACAGTGCAGAGGAGCATCCGGCATTTGAGAGCACCGAGTCCGGCTCGTGCATGTTTTTGGTCTGGATTTGGCACATTCGCTGAAAATAAAATCTTTCCGCCAAGAAAAGAGAAGAAGAATGTAACCACCAGTGTACCCCTTAAGTTGTGATTGAGATGTCATGCCGTCATCTTTCATTGATGCATGGCGACAGCATTAACAATTTCGAGTCCCTTACGACTCACTCGACACGAATTTAACATAAGTTGCACACTTAGATGTATTTCGTTTGTGTCAATGCATGTCAACATACAGCCTCTACAATGTGTGCCTACTGTGAATTATGCAGCTGTAAATATACACATTTGTAATGTTGAACTCAAGCCTCTTAGCTAGACTTAATCTTTTCAGTTTGTTAGGTAACTGTCAGAGCCAGTGCATCTTTTGATGGTACCCCAGCTACATAATGATATTACACACTCTTCGACTAAAAACCCGGTGTAATTGTACGTTACACTATGGAGTTACATCTGTATACGTACACCTGCTATGGGAGAGGATGGGAGAAGTGTAAATATACAATGATTTATTGCAGACGATTCCACTTGTGATGACTGCCAGAGGTATTCATGATTTCCATAATATGATTAAAACAATAAATCATAATGTGAAATTGTCACTGGTGTTTCGGCTTTGATACGTAGAATTAATACTCGACAAAGGTTGCTGCAGATAGAGTTAAGATAGAACGCCGGTGCACTATTTGTTTACCATTTTATATTTTGGGCACAGTGCAGGGCTGCATCCGGCATCCGGAGAGAGAGAGAGAGATCATTTGTATACAGGATCTTACTCTGTATACAGGGAGACGGTATAGCATTTCCCTATACGTTCAAAACTGTCCTCACACATTGGCACTTGCCCTGCAGTCTTGAGAAAATCGCAAATTAATGATTTTGCACCAAGGGTCTGAAATACCTCCCCTTCGGTGTACATCCTATGTACATGATGATGATATGTGCATGTTACATACACGTGGTTTTATTATACACCAATTTGGAATTCCATTTGTTTGATTTCAGTAAAAGAGACAACATACTATTTAGTCGCACTGACGTCTGAAGGACATACTTATTAATAAAAACGAAACATAGTTCTGTTCCTACGGATTCCCATTAAATACCTCAGCAGAACGTGTGATCAGAAAAAATTGCTAAAGTTGAAAATTTGTCAGAATGTTTGGATTAGAACCAAGGGGTCGCGAGTTCGAATCCTGCCATGTCACGTACCGATCTTGTGCCCTTGGGAAAGGCATTAACCTCACTGCACCCCGGTGGAAATGAATACCTAGCTTCGGTTAGGGACGTCTATAGACGTCACTCGGATAGGACGTTAAAATGCAGCTCCCATGTTTGGGGAGACACACTTATCGAAAAGAGTAGGGGTCCTTCCCTGTGTGGTGACCAATGAGTGAAAAAAGTCGAATTAATTCTGTTAAATATACAACCCAGTGGATCAAACCATTCCATCCTAAAATGGGGTACCCTTCTTGGGTGGGTCTGGGGTCATGTGGCGTAAGTGCAGAATATTCGGATTAGAATCAAGGGGGCGCGGGTTCGAATCCTGCCATGTCACTCACCGATCTTGTGCCCTTGTGAGCATGGGCTGGTCTCAATTATGATGTTTCTGACTTAGGGAGAAGTAATTCTGTTACAACCTTGGATTGACCTTGAGACCTTGTTACGTGGTGACCAATGAGTGAAAAAAATCCAAGTCTCTACGACTACTTTCTGTGAAACTTTTACAGGCTCTGTTTGTACAAAGCAAGGAAAACCAGAAAAGGTGCATAACTTGACCCGGGATTAAACAATAACCTGCTGTCTCATCCCAGAAATAAATAAAAGATTTGTTTGTAAGAAGACTAAAACACAGTCAGGATCTTTCCTCCACCTTTTATTGTCTATTCCAAGCTCGCCAAAGATATATGCTACATTCTGTGCATGCAATGTAGGTGTATCATATATGTTGCAGGTTTACCTGATTTTATACAGGTCTACTACAATATGTGTTTTCAGTAAAGCTTCTATTTTGTGTTTACTTTGATTATCCGAATTTGAAATTCCAAGATTATTATTGAGACCAACACTTATAGCTATTGATAAACTTATCATAACACTTCCATTGTTTAAAGAACATCATACTATTAGCATTTCAAGAGTTGAGAAAAGTTGATTAACACTTTTAGTTTCTAGATAAATCGTATCTAACATTTCAGCTTGAAATGTTGGTTTACAATTATAAGGAGTTTTGCTAAACGGCTGATGGATTCTTGACCTCACAAAAGCCAACAATATTCTTCGTTACTCTAGGAGCCAATGCGCTTTGTATTATAGCTAGCTTAGATCAAAACGTAAGAGTACACACCTTGAGTATATATCTAAATCACCACCATCATAGCCTTAAGAAATAGAGCAGTTGCTGCTTCATGTCTAGCGTAAAACGTGCAGTGATGTATTTACCTTAATGCCCTTAAAAATCTTCTTCAGGTACTTGCAAATTTCATAGATATACCTTCTATCTGATCATTACTAAAGTGTTTAGTCTGTTTAATAACTAAGCAGGATTTACTTCCATATATTCCTTCGATTCTTTCTATTCTATTCTTAAGATAAAACCAATACCTTTCAGATAAACTTTAATTGATGTGATCCAAATGTCATTATTGTGTGATGGGGCATAACTGTGTTATTTTCCTGTTGTTTAAGGCACACTATGGTAGGAACTATAGATGTGCTCAAATTGATGTAGGATATGTATTTTTTCCAACTTTCGGGAGCAAAAAAATAAGTTTAGAACAATCCTATACCAACAGTTTCACTGTTCTCTGTATAGTTGTTTTCACAATAGTACTAGTGAACTTTAAGGACATTGATGAATCCAATGAATGATGCATATGTGACATGCAGTTGTGGTAATAAGGTTTATACATACTTTGGATTACCTTTAAGTAATCTTTTATTTTTTCTTCATGTTTCCGAGCGATATCGGACATTTTATGATATCTTGCATCAGAAATTACTTTATGCTGTTGGTTACATGGTTTCCTCAGTTTAAATCTGGAAATTGTAGATATTCTTCAAGGATGCATTCTTCGTTGTTTTTATATCATTCGTGCGAGTCTGTATGGGAGTACAAATAGATTTTATTGATAAATTCCACACCTCTAAGCCTCAAATACTTGTTGTAGATCAAAACCCTCTAAAGTCAAAGCAATGTCAATTAGTCACGTTGGATATATCTATATCCTGTTGGATACATCTAAATTTCCAGAGAAGACATCATGCAGATGACAGTTATTGTTATTAATTTCAAGAAGAGAGAATAATCATGTAGATCATATAGATCATATACATATACAGATAAAGCCTAGCATGGTTTTCTTATCATACTCTAGATGTCCAACCTAAGTGCATTCAGGCCCTGATGGGTATGAATAGAATTCATCACATTTAATGATGATTGGTAGCTAATTTTATGCCATTAGATTTAATGAAAATGCTCATGATATTCTTTATCGTCTAGCTATAGTTAACTAAAATTTGAATAATCCATCAAAACGCACTAAATAGTAGGTTTCTGTACTTTTAAGGGGTACTTACTTGTGTCTTCATCATGGTCAATCTGTTAACGAGTTTCATCCTCCATACCTGTTAACATAAGGGCAGCTATAACAACGAATTTAGAATATATAAGTTATAATTTCTAACTTCATAAACACCCTGTACAAACATCCTGTACAGCCATTTTCCATCAATATCAACCATTTTACATAAATGGCAGCCATTTTGCATCAATGGGCAACCATTCTGTATCAAATTGGTAGAGGCAGCTTCAATGCAGGCTCCATAGCATTCATCAACAACCAGTGCGGCATTTCAGATGCACTGAGAGATAGCTTTTGGACATGTTCAAATTCATTAGTTTGTCTTTTAACATATGTAACATTGCATCATTCATATCATTCCTAAGATCTTGTATGGTAACATTTGATTTGTTTGGATCTTGAGCCTGTCGAAAATGACACCATAGACGCTGCCCAACGCCTGTTCATGATAAAGATAGGCATGAAATAGAATTTGCATGTCGTTTATACTGCATGTCGTTTACACAGCACAAAAGTGGAAGGTTTTCACCATCTGATGTTGCTGTGTAGGTGTGTGAATTGTACGCACCGCATGGGTACAGGTCACCCAGGATACGGTAGGCGACTTGGCAGGCATCGTCGTGGATGCTGAACACGTTGTCAGCGCCGCCACTGATGACCTCAAGCGCATTGATGTTCGTAAAGCCTGGGATTCCACCATTAACCACGCCGTACAGGGTGATTCCTGCGTCCATTGCATCTTGAGCCATGGCAGCCTAGTTAGATCATCACAAATGACTTTATGTTAACCGTTAAACGTTAACGACAAAAATCAAATCAATATAGTGAAATATGCAAAGTATAACAATGAAATAACTTGAACTCAAATCAACATAACAATGATCAAAAGCAAACATATTATTAGCTCAAAACAGTAAGACAAAGAAAACACTCCACCTCACAATCATGAAAAAAATAATATGATAGAAGTTGTAGATCACCAGTGAAACAACAAAGAGAACTTTGGTTACATAGACATAGACACGAAACAGCATGGTCTGAGTTCTGAGAAAAACATGTCTGAAAAAAATAGACCATACCACTCCGCTCATGCCGTCTTGATCATCCCCGTCTGTAATGATGACCGCTGCCCGGGGCACCCCGGCACGGAAATTGGACTAAACAAACAAAAAAATAAATAAACAAACAAACAAACACATATCATTAGGATTAAATGTAGAAGATCATGTTACGAGTATGATAGATCGGTGTTCTTGCCCTGTTCTTCCTCTGAGAACTGCATTCATAGAAACTCTATAGTGTTTAAGTCAACAAAGCTGAGAATTAAAGATAAAACATACCATCTACCCTGCATTAAGATAAAACATGTATATACCGTGGAAATAGAGGAAAGTGTAGGAGAGAATTTAGAAATACTCAATTACCAAGTAATCCTATCCACTGTTACAGATTTACATTTTTCTAACAGTGTTCCATTATCTTTTTTTTTTCAATGTACACACGCAAATATATAACATCGTCAGATGAGCATTCTACTACATAGTTTGTGACAGTCTAAACAGATATCAGAAACTACGGTTCTACCGTATAGGTCATGAAGCTAATCGCCATGGCAGTTCCGCTGAGGCCCCCTGTGTACGGCACACGGACAATGGCGTACATAAAACCGCCGTACCCGGCAGTGTAGAGTCCTAGAGGGATAGCTGTCCTCGGCACGCAGTCGTATGTAATAACTCCAAGCTATGTCAAATAACAAGAAATTTGATATTATTGTGATCATTTTGCTATCATTTTGTGTTGAAAACAGAAACAAAATGCCTTCCTACATGTCATATAAAAAGACAGATACTTGTGTGGGTTTGCATTGAATATGTGAAGATTTAGAATTAAAAACTTACCCCAATATCTTGGCCGGTGAAGCATTGGTCGAACTCAATGATGAATTGCTTGGCAACATTGAACCAGTTGTTTTGTATGCTCGACGAAGCGTCAACGACGAAAACGACGTCGATGGCGCAATCTACAGGGAAATACATACCACTAACGTACATACCACTTCAAATATGCAAGTTTACAAGTAGAACACCACTACAGGTGGCTCACTTCTATTGCACTCCTTTCACTGAGCACCAAATTAGGACGCGGCACCGTGCGGAGGTGTTGTCTACACTAAGAGAGATTTTGAGAGAGTGCCATTTTGTAGTTCATGAAGAATGTGTACCAGAGGAACGGAGGGTGTAGCATTGCCATGTAGGGCATCTTCGACATGATTTTCGTGTCTACCACGCGCGGTATCTCAGAACCCGAAATGGTGGATGTTGATGTTGATGTTGTGTGGTACCCCACGTAATCGACACAAAAATAGAGTCTAAAGTACCCTGCATAGCAATACTGCAAAGTTGCTTCGGTCTAATATGTGACTAAATTTCTACAAAATGGCGTAGTGCTAACCCTGTACATCATAGATCGCAAGATAATCATGATGCTCACGTATTTCGCAGTGGCTTCCAGCATAATCATGCGGGCACTGACATTCGTAGGAGAGGTTCTCATCGAGGGTGATACAGGTACCGCCATTCTGGCAAGGCTGGCTGAAACAGGGGTCGGCCCGCTCAATGGCAACTGTGGCAAACAAGAAAACAACAGGTTCCCACAATCAAACAGATTCATCTTCCTGAACATGTCGCAAAGGTTTGGAATATTGCTCACACTATCTCCAATGGATTTTTGTGTTATGTGTCTACAACTGCTGGTAACTAACAATATGAGTATTATAGATGACTTACCTTCGCAGACAACGATGGAAATCTGGTCAATCTCTGCGACCAGGGCATTGAAGTCGTCCAACGCAATCACTTTGCTTGCGTCGTTGTTGGCGATCACCAGTAGTTCCGCTGGGTCAACGTTGCCCACGCCAATGCAGTAGACAATGATGCCTTCCTCGGCCAAGGCCTGAGAAGCCTCCGTTACGTCACGTGCAGACTGTCCATCCGTTAAGACGATCATCACCTATAAAGAGGGTGAGTCTTTTGTGTCAATCCATCCTCTCGTGCCAGGTCCCTCCGCCTGTGCAGGCAAGCAGCGGCCTTCGATCTGCCCTTCTCGCTGCGTTAGAGCTGGCCAGCCGTCAACTATAACAATCGCGTCGCCGCCTATGGTCAGCCGGCAACCTGTCCCCTGACAACACGAGGGGGTATTGTTGGCTAACGGCTGTCACGCGCTAACCGCAGGGAAAAGGGCGGATCGCTGTTTGACATACACATATATGCATACAGTGGCTGTCATGAGAGGATGTGTCTATCATGATCAAACTGCAGTATCAGTAGCGCAAATCTTTCTATACTTACTTTTGGAACAGGTTCGCCAGTTTCGTCCTCCCTCCACTTTGCTTCTTACGAGCGAGGTCTAGGCCCCAGTTAGTGTACGTGGCGCCTCTCTGGTAAACAATGCGGTTGATTTTGGCCAAGGTAGATAGCATGTCGTCATAATCTCCCAGGTTAAACTCCAAACTGAAATTAAGAAGAAGCTTAAAATTACACATACGTAGTAATTCTACTTGATTCTTAGAGCATTTAATACATTAGGTGATGGATATCATTTTGACACACATATAGAAAATGATATTTCTAATATCTCTATCAGTTGTTATCAACATGATTCCACAATATACATACACAATATTTGCAAATGCTGAAAATATACATGGATAATCCATTTTCCGAAATATGGAGAGACGAAAAATACTTACGTGGCATAATGAGAGTACTGCACCACACCAACCCTGGTGGCAGTCGGGCTTATGGTGAACTTGCTGACCACGGTGGCAGCAAACTCTTTCACCTTCCTGAAGTTTGGTGGACCCAGGCTGCTGGACCCGTCCAGAACGAAAAACAAGTCCAGTGGAGAATCACAGTTTTCGGCCGTGCCTGTACATGCAGACAACAAACAACGTTCGTACGTTCAAACATGCGGGGTTGCACACAATAATTTAGACGTGAAAGAGGCAATGGAGGTGTGTGCACCCGCAACATTGGAAGTAGAATCTTCTTCGGAATATTCCTCGGCACCCTGGGCGAACCTGACATCAAGTTATTTGCCTCCTTTTGCCATGATTGGTAAAGGGTTCTTTCGTTTTACCAAAAAATGTAAATTGGCGTAAACAGAACAACTGGATAGCTATATGCAAATACTTCAATCGTATTGGGATGGCCAAGTTGGATGTGTGTATATCTAGAGAGAGAGAGTAAAATCTGTTTTCTAAAATGTGTTACGTCGATACGAAAACGTACGAGTATCAACGATATATAACCAGCAATAGTGTTAGCTAACTGTAAGAGACCAAAATATATCAATATATAAACTATATAAACTATATTTGTACATTGGCGACAAGATAATCGGTAGTCATAAAAAACAGCAAAATTGAAATGTTGTACAATGATTTAAAAGTTGTCATGGATAACACAATAGCAAGCCTGGAACAGCCTACCTATGCACATTGTTATCTGAATATAAAGTCTAGTACGTATACATGAAAACACCAGCACATAAAACTAATAGTACATAAAAACGCTATCTATTATAAATATACAGCTAGACTTCATGTGCAAATAAAAGACGCTTCTAAACTAGAGAAGTGGCAAAAAAATAGAAAGCTGTGGCTGGGATATATGTTTACACAAAATAAGAATTCTGACATTTCCCTCATATTGATCAATGTCCAAAAGTTCCGACGTGTCATGATGTCGGTACATCCTCACACCCCAACATGTTGAGGAAAATGTATTCGGTATGCAAAATTCAACTACGTCCTCGTGTATTTCCCCCACATCACCGCTTCACAACTATCAAGACTAATATTCCCAGGGTATCTTTCATCCCAAAACAGCAACCAAGAACAATTCAATTAAATGTAAATTCCCTGTGTGAGAGATAGGTGTAGGGATGAATGTGGCAGATTGGAATGATGCCACACGATTACATGCCCAACAGACCTATGTCATGATCGGGCAGCCTGCAAATTGTTCTTCTGTAGGCTGCTAATTGCACAAATTACCATGGCCAAAATGATACAATTGTAATGATAGATATAATACAAATAAGGCAGGGCCAGAAAGGTACTAGTATTGAGTCGGTGCCATCCAATGCACGTTGACGAAATATTTACCCAGATACAAATCGCACTGTGTTGTTCCTAGTTTTCCTTCTCGTTACGAACAGAAGTAAACAGTACCTACCAATTGTCCCGCGAATGGCGACGAACGTCACAAAAGTGGACAGCAACAATTTCCACATCATGTTTGTCGTTTTGACTCCTGCGTATTGATAGATAAATAGTTTATTGGGGAGGCCAAAAATTGTGCATTGTTGATCAAACAAGTTCTTCAACTATTTTTGTAACCTCACGGTAAAAAGCAACATTCACACCCGACGTGGAGTATTGGCGATTTCCCAATCATCTATGCATATTATTTGGTGAGCAACTGTGATACATTGTATATCAATGAACATGGCTGCACAGAACGCCCGACACCGTACTGTCCGGTGCGCCCGACACATACTGTCTGATCACCGAATAAAATGTTGTACTAACAGTAGTACATTTGAAAGAAAGTGAAAAACACGAGAACTAGCTGTTATGTGAATAATCTAACTGCAAGGAAATTTCTTACCGTCTGATGTATCTCAGAAAATGATTCCCAGTCGATACCAAATTTGGCAGAGTTTCTCGTTGTCCCAACTCACGACCCGCTCTGCGTTCTCACCAAAACACGCCCGGGCTGTGCTGGTTGAGTGAGAACGACTAAAGGTGCCAGCGTGTCCAGTAAAATACGTTATAAAACGACAGCCAGAACTCTTCTCCCATTGGTCCACGAGAACACCTTTTCCTTCTATCAGTTACGAAAATCAGGAGATGTCACCCCAGAAGGCGTGGCCAGCTCGTCCTTGATCCTCGTCACGGCAAGATGTCTGCCTCGTCACGTAGCTCATCGCTGTTTAACAAGTACGGACGTACTCTGTAAACAGCGATGCGCAATTAAATCCTGTGCCACACAGGTGTGCCTGTCATACTGCCAGCTTAACGCTGACCTATGTCTCCACCCCTGACCCAAGATAATGCGTTTCGGGGCAAGACGTGTTTTTACAGTCGTAATCTACGGCTTCACAAATAAATAACACCAAGATTTCATCTCATATCCTTGTTGCTCTGATGGTCTCAAAGTCCTATGTAAATACCCAAGTCACTAAAAGCAGTAATGGGCTGTCATTCATTTTCACATGTATATTACATTTTGGAAGATTATTTATTTTTGGAATGGTAGTCCCGTGCAAAGGAAACAAAGATCACCATGATTGCATGTTAACACCCTGTTTTTCGTGGCCATGTGTAAATATCACATATTGCGAATCTTATTCAGCATCACGCCTGTAATACACAGCTGGTATCCTGTTCAACATTGATATTGTCGCTTGGTGCGATATTATATGCTAAAGATTATCATACTTCCTCTGGTTAAAGTTAAACTGGAGATCAGAGAAGCGTTTATAATCTAAAAGTCGATCTAATAAAATATTAAAGAGGTCTTTGGTAAACACTTACCGGCTTTTACCAGAACGCCACAACAACAACATCAGGTATTTTAATCCGGTATTATGGTGTACTCAGCGTCATTTGTATGTGTCAGATACTAATGAGCTCTAACATAACTGTCTTGCCAAAACATACAATGGTAATGCCAGACTTCCTCCGATGCCACTGTCTCCTTAATTATATGTCTGGTTAGAATGATAGAATTTCAGAATACAGCTATACAAGAGCAAGAGAGATTTTGTAGATAATACATAATACATATTTCTATACTTTCGAAAATTTCCATGTAGTATCAATTATTGAAAACGTTAACTTGGTGGTTCCGTAGTTGTGAGTAGAATAACTGTTGTGTTTCCACTACCGGTCTACTGTAAAAGAACAATTAGGCTATCGGGAGAATATGAGAAATTCAATTACATTGAAATCAACGTGATTAGTAGGTGTCCATTGATCAACATAGAGTATCAATAGGTATATATGATATGATGTAAATTTCCCTGTGCCTGTAACGATATACTCGTGTGTAGGACAAATAATTTTAAATGATCAAAATAGTCTATTGCTTCAACTTATTGTTATACTATAGACCATACGCAAGGCATATATCTTTTGATTCTGCACGTTCTATAACTAAAACTTATGAATCATGTCGTGCTAGTTTCACAATAGCATTCCGGATGTCAGATTTCCCATCTGGGTCTCAGATCCACTCTTCGATATGAGGGTTGAGTTGGGGTCCTCAAGAATCATCTAAAAAGAAGAAAAGCCATTTGCTAATGGATTTATAATTGTTGCATCGCTTTTGTTACCTATGCAATCTTTAATTTTATCAGTTGACACTACAGCCTTTAGGTTGCAAAAGGATGCCACAAATGCAAAACCCATCTCCATACGATCACTACTAGATTATAAATCTATGTCAAGTCAATGAAATGAAATGAAAAAGGGAATTTTCCTCAAATTTTCCCTAACGTAAGAAACACCATATATGCTGGGAACTACTACCCCCTCGCAGATACAGAAATTGAATACGTTTACTGTTGTCGTTGATGCTTCCTTATTTCACTATAAAAACTATACCACCCCCTTTCCGTCTCACCTACGTTATTGAAGATTTATGTCTGTAATTTCGAGGGGGTTCAAGCTGTCAATACCATGCGATACACAAAAGAAAATAATACAACTCGCCCGAGGTACATTTGTATTAAGCGAACTGACCCAGAGGCACCGCAGATATCTCCCGCCAGCGTGGCGGCGAGAGCGCAGCCGTGACGCCCGAAGTGTGTGGTGAGCACCCGGCCCGGCTCCCCGGCGATGGCGTTCAGTGCAGCGGTATCCAGGAACGCGAACATTCCGGTAGCCACGGCGTACAGCGTGATCCCTGCCTGTCTCCCCGCTTCGGCTTGCTCGGCGTAATCATCCATCATCTAGGATGATGTTGATGATGATGATGGTGGTGGTGGTGGTGGTGATGATGATGATGAGTTGATAAGTTGATGATGATGATGGTCACCACCATCATCACCATCATCATCAACTCATCATCACCATCATCATCACCATCATCACCATCATCTCAACTCAACATCATGAGTATTGATGATGAGTTGATGATGATGGTGCTCATCACCATCATCATGACGATCATGATCATGATTATAACAAGAACGATCATAATGATTATGATAATCATGGTAAATTTTTCCACAAGCTGATTCCACAAGCTGATAACAAAATTAATACGATGGGAGACATGTAACCTCTCCAAGTTCAAATGCTGATGATGTTCTCAATTTAAAGCTAAATAGGTTTGACCATGTTTTGTACGTAGGGAAATGCAAGGGACGTTTTCTGTCTCGAGAGAATCCTGTGGTATTAGGAATAGGATAATAAATTCGTCTGTAAACGTGGAAAATCCATTTCTGTCAAATGACTTAGAATCATTTGTCTACTACATGAATATACGGTTTTCTCTCATCAATTTTGGTGCATCGACTTGCAACAAGCAACTAGAGTTTTCCTACCCGGTTATTGACATCACCTTGGCCCTCTCCATCCGTCAGCACTACGGCTACCCGAGGAACCCCACTGCGGAAATTAGCCTACACAAAACACAGAAACATCATAGAGTTAGACAATGTCATGTAGCTCCAGGCAGTTTTGGCATCGCCGTTTGCATATACGTAAGTGTATAGTAGCATCTGTACCAAGTCACAGTGATAACCCCACAACGACCTACATGCTTATGTGTGTGTGTGTGTGTGTGTGTGTGTGTGGGTGTGTGTGTGTGTGTGTAGCCTTTTCCTATACGTACAAAACTGTACTAGCTGTCACTCACAACGACCTACATGCTTATGTGTGTGTGTGTGTGTGTGTGTGTGTGTGTGTGTGTGTGTGTGTGTGTAGCCTTTTCCTATACGTACAAAACTGTAGTAGCTGTCCTTACACATTGACTCTTGCGATGCTGTCTTTAGAAAATCGCAAGTTGCTGACGTTTCACCATGGTGCTGAAATGCCTTCCATTAAATGTTCTACGTACATGAGGATGGTGTGTGTGTGTGTGTGTGTGTGTGTGTGTGTGTGTGTGTGTGTGTGTGTGTGTGCGTGTGTGCATAGTACTTCAATAGCTTTGATGATGCCGTAATAAACACGAGAAACAAATAAAACGGAGAGTCAGCCTGAGACACCCCGTGGGTGCATTCATGTAGAAAAAGAAAATGTACATTTTGGCAATAAACCAGCCATATGCATGTATAAATATAGACCTATAGGGTCACGTCCGGGTTTGAGAAATACAGTTAAGGAAGGGGAACTAATAATATGTTTTTGGTAGCAAACAAAAATATAGATTAAATGATTTCCTCTTTCTGTTTTTCCTATATGTCTAGTGCTACTACTGATTCTCCAATCACTAATGGTTTATATTTCATCCTGATAGATAAACAAATCAATCCACCAGTCCAGAGATGTCATCCCTACCGTGTCCCTCATCTGTCGCATGGCCGGTCCGATCCGGCTCAGGCCTCCGGTGTAACCTATGTTCTCCACCGCGGCAGGCAGGCCAGGGTCGTCCAGTGCGAACTGACCCAGAGGTACGTGTACTGTCGACAGGCAGGAGAACTGAGTAACTCCAACCTGTAAAACAAAGATTTGCCACTAAAAATTCTTTGTATGGGGTCGTGTGGCGCAACGACAGGGAGTTCGGCTCGGAACCAAGAGGCCCCGAGTTCGAATCCTGCCATGCCGCCAACCTTGTGCCCTTGGCAATTTACACGAATTTCGTCACTTAACTCAGGTGAAAATTAGTGCGTCTGTTGTGCGTGTCTGCGTTGTTGCCATCATGAAGATAAGTTGAAAAAACTTGTCGCCATGTCTTGTGATCAATGTTGAAATAGAAAAAAATCTCTAGTCTCTAGCGAGCCCCTAGCAATACAATAAAGTTATCGTATATTATTGCTGTTGATAACCACCCTAGTGTGTACATGGCATATGCCGGGACGCCTATATAACTAACGATTATACCAATGACTGAATATCATTCGATTATCCAACAGCCATTGGTTATGACGATTATTGACCGGTCATTAAACTCCATAATCCATGGCTGTTAACTGGCAGGCTATATACTGTGAATACTTACTCCAATATCATAGCCGTACCCATTCATGCATTCGATGGCGTCCAGGATGTAAAGATTGGCAGCAGCCGTGCCGCGTGATCCCACGCTGGAAGACGAGTCGATGAGGAATACAACGTCGAAGCTGCATTCTACAGTTAACATACATGCGAGCACGAAATGTGTTGACCAAAATCAAAGCCCTTCCCTCACCATGTTGTACATAGGCGGCGCCCATCCGCGTTTCCTTAGCCCATGGTCCTCACAGTATTACAGTATTTAACATGAAAACACCTCCACTTGAAATTAACGATAATTATGCATGCCCCAGTCATGCTGTGAATCGACTCCTCAAGAATACCACCTGTCAAAGGCTTTTCCACACCCTTCCTAATATGTTCTGAGTGCTAAGCAGAATGTACAATGTCTTTGGCATTACTTCATCAATCAAACCTGTGATCCACTACTACTACTAGTATATAGTACTGACAACATGCCACATAATGTGGCAAAGCGAGCCTTTGGGCTATTGCTGCAGTACACGAAAATGTGACGATACATTTTATTTTTGGCGTGGTAAACATGAACTTAGATATACTGTGGATGCAAAATGGTAAGGTATCCAACACACAGGCATTCCAATTGTGTACTGGCACACTCACGCGGTAAACATTTGTTAAACCGACTGTACTTACGAGCATTGGAACCACAGATGGCGGCAAACAGCAGAAAAGCGACGACAAGTACTTCTTTCGCCCACATCCCTCTCGTGGGTCACTAGTACTGTTAAGAGTTTTATGTATATAGTATTATATATAGTTATCAATATTGTAGCTGGAAAACCCACTTAAAAACTATACGCTTCATTCGCGGGTAATTCCAAAATTTCCGTCTAATACCAATACATAAAAGGAGTGTTAAAGGATAAAACAAATGTATATCTGACAAAAGGACACCATGCATCTGCATTGGTATTTGTTTCTCAATATGAGGTTGGGAATTCCAAGATCGTGGTCTATAAATGTTTTACTGTTGCATGGACATATAATAGCCTGGGTGCTATGCTATTGGATTGGTATTGGACCGGTCGACCCCCGTGCATTTCCTCGTAAAATATTATGTGCTCCGGAAAAATTTAGCCCGTAAAGTTTCACTAGAGACTAAGCAGGATGGTCCCCAGGCTATAAGCCACAGATCACACGAACACAGGCCATACTTTTTACAAATTTAGCTATTGGACAATCTCTAACAAAGAGACATATTGTACCTTTGTCTTAAATGAATCTGTAGGGATATCAGGTAGATGACAACGCACGGTCGGCACCCGTTGGGACAGATAGCAGAAAGTTTAATCCACGTTCAGTTCTTGCGTCTCCCCATTAACTGAGATTTGCATGGATTTATGATTGATGCCCAAAAGTGACAACGTGTCAGTTACACATTTTTACGCAAGAAGGGGCTTCTCATTGGTTCAAATGCCACGTTAATTATTCAAATGACGCTACGTCATGGTGTGACGTAGTTGAATAACTAATTGTTTAATCAGATTACATCCTTGTTATCGTGTTTTCATAACCTTCGATAATGTGTTAGTGTAACTGAAAACGCGTATACAGTTCAATTAGTCAAAACACTATATGGTTTCAGGGCATTAAATTATTGACTTTATATAGTTTATCAAAATTCCATCTGCGACACGTATGGCACGGAGTGTCGATCATACCCACAAAATGTGTTTTTTTTTGACGTTGAAGTATAAACATGCTCGAGTTTCTTTATAAGAACGTAGCATTTTGTTTGGTGTGCGAAAACAGTTAACTCATTACCAAGGGGGCTTTCTTCCAGTGAACAAGAAAAGTACATGATCACAATGAAATAGTCTACTTAAAACAACATTTCTCTTTTCATGGCTCTAGATACATAAACTTTCGCAGTGTCAGTGGCCGTTCTTCTCTAAGGCCATGTTGATTTGATTATATGGATGACATCCGCGCGCGCATGAATTTTCGGCCGTTTCCAAAAAAAAAAAAAGTTTTCAACCATACTGTAAATCGTACAAAACAGTTGCAAAATGAGCAAAAATATACCATAAGTTACAAAAAAAAATAATAACAACTTTACCAATGTCGTAGAATGCCAAAATCAAACGAAAAAAGACGAAATTGTAAAGAAATGAACTTGAAGACTAGATTATTCGCCAAACCATATTCTGTGCCATTTGCTCAACCCTCATGACCACGTAGATTTCATAATGAAAAGTAACTTTTTTTTTTTGCTAAAATTTTTTTTTTATTCGCACGCGCGCATCAGTTTTGGGGCTCCCGGAGGATGTCATCCATATAATCAAATCAACATGGCCTAAGGTAGGAGTCTGATTTTTAAAAGAACTACTTTATAGTGTCAATACCAGATAAGAACCAGGCAATAAGGTAAATTCAGAGCGGAAGCATTTATTATTATAGCTTACATTGTTAATCCTAATAGAACACAAAAGATAGTACACAATGCCCATAATAACACATTGTACGTACTAGCCCCCTATCAATACATCTACTTGGCTAATTCTTTATCGCTGCATTCCTTGCACAACAAAGATTTGCATTTGGAGTTACTTATTTCTCTTTTGCTTGAATAATTTTGCTGTTCTGTGCGCGCCTATCGCCAGCAAAATAGATATCACACTGTCTTAATATTCTAATGATAATCCGTGCTGACATTGCAATTCTTAGCTGGTAACCAAATTAAGCTAGTTTACCAAGCATTAAATAGGATATGAGCACATACAAGACCATGCCGGTTATCTTATGTTTATGCGGGCGAAATGGCCTACTTCTTGCCTTTTCCAGGCCGATTCATCATACGTCTGACGCCGCTTTGGCAGTCATCAATACCGAAAACGTAACTTTTCCCACCAGCTTTAACGAAGTCAGATACGGTGGATGCTCCCTGTACCTCTCTGACCCTACCCTTCTGAACCCATCTATCTCCCATGTGTTTAGCATCAGTGACCACGGTTTTGGAACTAACCCCATAATCAGACCCTTTGTGAACCAGGTATTTGCTGCCGTCTTCTAGAGTGACCCGAGCGCCGGTGTGGTAGAATGGCCCCCACATCGTGGTGCTGTTTCCTAACGGGCGTCGCATCTCTTCGGCGTGGACCACGTTGCTGTTGTACAGCTGACGGAGGCCCTGCTGGCTGGTGATGTCGTGAGGAGGCCGTGCCCCGCCGGGCCCCGCTCCGCCGCCCTTGATGCCGCTGCTGGACCACATGGCTTCAGCTTCAGTCGGCTCACTCAGGGTCTGAAGGAAACTTAAAACGCCAAATAAGCTTTCTATGATAGCCTTCCAGTTTTCTAGTTGATTACACAAATTGATGATGAATACAAATTAGGTACTACTACTAATAAATCGTTGATTATGCAAATTGAGTGGACTGTGAAAGGCGAAACTTTCACCACTGGTTTCCTACGTTTTCGCTGATATTGCTGCAACAGAGTGAAAGTGAAAATGCCGCCATGTAACACCTCACACTCTGACACATTTCTTGCCAGAAAGAAAGCTTCTCCTCCTTGAAAAATGACAACTTTCTTGTCTGCATCCTATGATTTGCTTTTTTTTACGTGTTACTAAGGTTTTAAAATTCGTCTAAAATCTAGCAAAGGTGAAAGAGACAGTCATTGGGGCTCTCCAGTGTGTCAGGGCATTCCCCCACTGACGTAGTGTCTAGACGTTGTACGTCAGGGTATTACCCACTGAAACCAACGCCTTTCTTGCGATTTCTATTGTTTGGAGGATATACATCCTATTTTGTTCTCTCGGAAAGAATCATTTTATAGATTTTCAATCAAAGCCTAACATAATCCGCAGAGTTTTGAAAAGAAGTGGAATTATCCCACAAGAAGTGCAAGTTATCCCATAACATTCTTTGTATGTCACTGCGTCTCTTTGAAGAAGAGTAAGACGCTTCCAAATGGCAATATAACACAGGCGACATTGTTGTGTGTACGCTGTCTCTTACCCACACTATGCACCATGCCCTAAGAATGGTCGATAGATGAAATAAGTACACCCAGTCTCAGCTAACACGAAAACGAAAGCCATACCTCTTCAAGCACACCTGTCACACCTCACTGTGGCCGCAGAGAGAAAGAGTTTGGGAGAGATAGCTTATTTATAGGCCCCGGAGCAATGTCTTATGGGAAGGGGGGTTTCCCTGACATCATACTTATATTACAGGTGGTAAGAGAAAGCATCGTGGGGGGATGGATGAAAAGTGAAAGAGACAATCATTGGGGCTCTCCAGTGTGTCAGGGCATTCCCCCACTGCCACTGACGTAGTGTCTAGACTTTGTACTGTCAGGGTATTTCCCACTGAACCAACGCCTTTCTTGCGATTTCTATTGTTTTCAGGATACCAACCCCATTTTATTCTCTCGGAAATAATCATTTTATACATTTTCATTCAAAACTGCGTAGTTTTGAAAATGAGACAATATATAAATAAGTGCATGTTATCCCACAACATTATTTGGTATGGCAGTGCGTCTCTCAGTTGAACAAGACTTAACCGCTTCCAAATGACAACGGTGCAATATAACACAAGTGTCATTTTTGTGTGTACGTTGGTGGTTTCCCTGATGTCATACATGTATTACAAGTGGAAAGAGAAAGCATTGTGGAGGGATGGCGTAAGTTACTAATACTTACCGGTATCCACTCAGCAGCAATGCCTTATGGGAAGGTGGGGCTTTCCTACGGTATTGTCAATAGGGGGCATGACAAATCACAGAAAATGAACTCTCTACTCAAATATTGGGAAAGAAATGTACAGTGTTGTCATTTGCTTTAGAACTCAAGTAAATGGTTTTGTTCCATTGTATTATTGTAGCTTTCATCCAAGGATACCTGCGCAAAAATGTCTACGAGGATGTATTCCCCGATCTAAACAATATAGAAAACGAAAATAAAACTGTGGTGACTCAGGTATGCCTCTTCTGATTCTCCATGTTCATGTTCTAATTCAACTTTTATTTCATAATGTATCTAAACTATCCATAAGCATCTAATTCCCAACATAGAAATATCACATTTGGCAAAAATTGTAAGAATAAGTTTGCATTAGAGTATGCCATTATCAGCTTGACAGTAAGTGTCCATGTTTAGAATTTAAACTCATTCACATAAAGTTGTCATTGCATAGGAAAGCATCTCCACTGCTATAACATTTTACACATCTTGTAACCTTACATTAGGAAACTGAATTAACAGGATGAAATCATGGTGCTAAGTTATACACTATCTCCATTGGAGAAAAGCTGCTGTATACCTGTAAGTTCACACTGTTACAGTGCTAGCTTCAAGTAAGACTGTTGGCAGTATTGTAGTTGACATGTAAATGGCACTTTTCATAAGTTGTACTATTTCTATAAGCTACACTGTATTAACAACGTTTTTTCTTAAAAACCATCTGAAATATTTTGGAGTCTGGAGTTTTTCAATTGACAGAAACACTCAATATATGAAATACTATCATAATGTTGATACCATCTGGAAGACAATAATATCATCATAAAATTGAATATATTATTTTATCTGTATCACAGTGTATCAATATTGTTGTTATTCCAAGCACTCTTATTTTTAGGCAAAACTAATTTAATTTCTTGCATCTTGGATTTGTTGCTTATTTTCTGATTTGACAGAAAAAAGAAAATATCATTTATGATATGAAACAACCAAAAATACTCATCTTCTAAAAGTCTTCATAGTTATTGTTACAGTTTTCCACATAGCAATGCATCAAAAGTTGAACATTCGTAGTTTGAAATGTCACTTAGCCAGGTGTGTCAAATTTGTGGCTCCTGTAGTAGCCTTTAACCTGACTAAATTGTGCTCCAAATGACAGTTGTCACTCCTAGTGACAGTCTTTGCATAACTAACTATGAACCTGTGTGTTGACAGGATGGTTCAACCTAATCTTCTGATGATTGATTCACGTCATTTTGTTTGCCTATCTACACAGTCGCTGCTTTCACATTGCCATTGTCATAGATACCTTTAACCCTATTATTCTGTGGGTCAAAGGGTGTTTTCAGATGTATGGTTGCTGGGTACACCACACCCATCCTTTCGATGGAGTACTCTCCAGCCTTCAGGAACTCCGCGGTGACCTTCCCTCCCTCTGGATCCCTGACGTAGCCGTAGCCGATGCTTTTCCCCAGCGTGAAGGCGTAGTCCGCACGCCGCAGGTATCCCACAACGGCACCGTTCCTCCAGATGGCCTCCAGACCCAGCAAGGGAACATGGCTGACAGGTAAAACAACACCATTATCTGTATCTGTAGAGCCAGTATAAGCGCCCTTCGGTGTAACACACCAGCTTCACAGGCATGTGGCGTGGTGGCAGCTGGCTATATCACACGAAACAACCTGTCACACCTCACCTCATTGTTTAAAGCTATCTTATTATTAATCACGTTAGACCACAACCCTAGCATAGTTTGAGCCCCCATGTCCCCAATCAAAGTCCTGAAGCAGACCTGTGCATGGGTTATTGTTTACTGACAACAGAGGAGTGTTGTGATTTGGACGCCCTACAATGTGTCAGTGCATTAGACACCCATGCTGGCTTTGCTTCTTTCTGGGGAGAACAATCTGACCCTTCATGGTCTAAGAAAATTATTATTTGGCTTTAGAATAAGACTGTAACTGTACAAAGTCTGTACCTTAAAAATCATAAAATATTGTCTGAATGGGTAACAAATTACATAATATTTCATACCGTATCAATCAGATGTAATGCCTGTAGAACATTAAAATCAGACTTTCTAATCTAATTTTCTAATCAAACTGAATATTGATCATGACAACCTCTAACAAGGACAGTTGGCTACATGAATAACTTGAAATAATCAGCCATACCTTTACCTGAATCCCTGTACCTGTACTGGTCAGCAAATCACTTTGCGCACACAGCCCTACAAGTTTCTGTGATGTCAATAAATGCAGAAATAAGTAACATGCCAGTAGACAGAATTAAAATACATGTATCAGTGACTTACTCATCGATAGTGAAGCAGACCAGTTTTTTCTGCAGTCCCTGTGGTTTGAGTTTCTCTAGAGCATCTCTCCCCAGGAAGGGAGTGCTGGACTTCAGCTTACATGTGAAGGCCAGACCAGCTTCAAATGGGGTGTCGTCTGGACGGATGTCGGCATGCCAATGGCGATAGCCTAAACAAAAATAAATTAACTGTAAACAACGATTAACATTTTCTTTTATGGTATGATACTGTCAAAATGTGTGAAAAAGAAACATCCTATGAAATATTTCAATTAGTGTAAAGTATCATATTGTGTGCACATGAAACCCATGAAATCTGTTCTAACATTCACTGTATTGGGATATCACAGTATGTATTAAAGGGACAGGTATGTTTACCTGCTACGTTTGCCCTTTATGTGGATAGCATTCAGCACCAAGGACAGGTATATTTGCCTGTGTGTGGTGGTATTTGGCACCAGGGCATGTGTGTTTACGTGCATATGGATGGTACTCAGTACAAGGGACAATTATGTTGGCCTGGTATGTTTGAAAGTGTTTAAATGGCATTCAGCACCAAGGGCAGGTATGTTTACCTGTGTATGGATAGCACTCAGCACCAGGGACAGATATGTTTGACAGTGTCTGGTATGTTTGACAGTGTGTGTAATAGCATTCAGCACCAAGGACAGGCATGTTTACCTGTATGGATGGTGTTCAGCACCAGGGACAGGTTTATTTGCCTGTGGGGTACCACAGCTTTCCTAGTGTGCACACTTTCATGTATGTACTAAAATGTACTTACTGAAATGACCACATACCTTTCTCGATGCTGAGAGAGTCAATAGCCCTGTACCCAGAGTTGACTGCCCCATGCTTGGCCCCTTCCTTCATCACAGCTTTGTAAACTGGGACACATGACTCCCTAAAGCAACAAGCAGAAAATGTCATTACTAAGGAGCTTCTAGAGGTATTCAACATAAAGCAATAAGTGAAAAGAATACCTGCATAATATACACTAACAACCAAACACAAAATTTCCCTCATAACCAATGGACAAAACTTTGTTGATCTTTGAAAATTTGGCTTCTACAACACACATTTTCCAATGCACTAAGCCCTAAGCTAAATCTAACCTAAATCTTATTTTATTATGTCACCATAAATAAGACTTAATAGCCACTTGACGTTAAGGTTTATCAAAATGACAGTCTAGTGATCTTCCTTACTTGGGGATGTGCAGTTCCCAGCCCAGCTCCCCTACAAAAGAGAGCCTGAGTGCGCGCACTCTGTGTCCTGCCACACTGATGACTTGGTTGGTGGAGAAGGGAAAGGCTTCGTTGCCCATGTCTGTGTCTGTCAGAGCCTGGAGGATGTCACGACTGTCAAAATACAACACGGAATTCAGATCAATCTAGATGCATGAATGGATGCATAAAGCAACTACATTACAGGTATATCCACAGTGGTAGTGAACATAATACAGAACCACAAAGTCACAATTTGCCTTGTAGAATTTTTATGCATTTTTGAATTTGAAGACTAAGTGTATAGTAATGAGAGAGCCTCTTGAATTCTGAAGTACAGGGAAAGTATTGTCTTTTATGTCAACCAGGCAACCAGGGTGCTCCGATCTATGTGATAACTACCTGTTCCATTTTGTTATCACATGGGCTTCCAAATGTTCCAGAGAATAATTCAAATATGTTTCACATGCACTGCGTGCCCCACGTTCAAAAATTTGAATACCAGATTTGAACACTGGAATCGGTTACAATTTTGGGTTTAGGGACACCAAATTATGACACATTTCGCACTGAAATGCGTGTCTTCTTGGGTGGGTATGAAATACACAAGGTGTATTCTGCATCACCCTCGGTCCCAGCCCTCTCGCGGGTCTGATCTCTTTTAGCTGTAGAGTGACCCGACCCGCGGTTGGGCTGGTACCTTGGAAAATACACCATTTAGTATTCTACATTTACATGTTTTCAAAGGTTCCATCTGGTATATCCTGGTCCAGGTCTATTGTGTGCCTGGATTCCCACATAACAACATCACATCATGTCCTGTTCTTGTTTTGACACAACAGATCTGCTACAGTACAAATCACACACCACAAAAACTGCACAAACAAAACCACCACAAAAGATTTACCGGTACACAGTGTTCTATCCAGCCTGAATTTTTTTCCATCATCTTAATTTCTTTTCATAATCATATGTTAAGGGCCAAAGGCTTGCACGAGAGGTGAAAAAATCTTAGTGGGGTACAGGGGCATGCTCCCCCAGAAAATTTTAAAATCTTCACCCTCTGAAATGCTATTTCATGCATTTTGCGGGGCAAATTTTGTTGGTAGACTAAGCTTACTTTAAAGACCTCTTTCCATGTCTTTACATGACAATTTTTGTCATTCAAAGATGAGGGTTTGGGCAAAATTTTTGTCTGTCATGAGTGGCAAAATTCTGTCAAACGATGGAAAGAAGGACGTTGGCTAGAACACTGCCAGAACATTATGTACCAGAACTTTTACCTTCTGGGCCCCTGTATACTGATCATGCCGAGTTGTTCAGACATGTCTGCCAGCTGACAGTTGAAGCTGTTGTCCTGGAGGATGTCTGTGATGTGGGACCAGTTATGCTGGGCTGCACCTCCGCCTACAGCTATGTAGAAACCCTTACCTGCAATGACATTCAAATAAAACAATCCCTTTGTTTCTGTTTGTATGCTCATTTTTTTTCTAACAATATGAACCAAGGTTTGATAAAAGTGACATTTTGGTCACATCAATTATATTAATGCTGACTGGTTGTTTTTCCAAGTCAACATTTTAGAGTAGAAAGGTGTACGTATAAGAAGCCAAGGTAAAAACAGAATGCTGAAAAGAATACTAATGAAAAGCTCAGTCCTTAAATGTAAACCTTTGTGTTTCAAATCAGATTCAGCCCCCAGCAACATTTTTTTTTTCAAAATTTCCAATAATTATGGCATAATTGTACTTTTTTTACTGTTTTATACATGTATTTACTGTTCATTGCTCAAAAACACAAATGCAACTAGAAAGGCCAATATTTGCTTTGGAGCAAATACAGCGATGGGTTCACCACTTTTTACGACATGGCAGGGAAAGAATGAGAAACACAAGGGAAAACAATGATTTACATTGATATAACTATAATATGAAGTAACATACAACTAAAACAACAGTTGGATAGCTATTCCCTACTTTATTGGTTAGGATTTTTAATTGCATAATGCAAACTGTTGATTTTCAAAATAAATAAAAAAACGTTCATGCCCCGCATTCCAATGCTGGAGCAGAAAAGCTTGAAATACCTACCAAAACACTTGAATAAAGACATACTGTCAGTATGGAAATGCTCTGTGCAGGTGTTAATCAAGTTAAATCCCAACAGCCAATCAGCAAGAAATGCTCTGTGCTGGTGGAAATGCTCTGTGCAGGTGTTAATCAAGTTAAATCCCAACAGCCAATCAGCAAGAAGTATAGAGGAAAGCTGCATGCCTATTGGTTGATGCCCTGCATTCCATTGTGATGACTCATGCCCAGACGTGGTAAACATGGCACACTAACACAGTAATACATTTGCTATAACACAGCCAAAAAACTCAAATAAAACCATTCTAAAAGCCTGTATCACAAAAATTTAAAAAACGCCTAGGGGTATTTGCCCACTGTACCTCCATACCAAATTTCAGGACCTTAGGCCCTAAAATGAAGAAGCTGAATCCATTTAAAAAATGGCAGGAGAAGGAGGAGAAGGAGAAGAAACATCAGAAAAAGCAATATGGGTTCACCACCACTTCGTGGTGTGGTGAACCCATAAATATGACATAGGCAGGGGGAAACTTCTAGACACAAAATCAACTATCAACATGCTCAATTTTGACTTACCATCAAAGGAAGGATCCATGGCTGAGCCCTCCCCAGGAGCGATCATACTCACAGTCAGGTCACTCTCTATCCCTCCTGACTTGTCTAACATACATGTGTACACTGTGGAGCCTGGGGTAGAGAACAAGGACAATATTCAATTTGTAAACCATCATCTTCTTCATCAAGTGAAGTGTGTACTGTATGCCTGGTAGGGCTATGATAAACAATACAGATTAGAGAATGATTAAGCAATGCATCCTTGTGTATGTGTGGGGGGCATGTACATGTATGTGTGATGTGTGCGTGTGTCATGCATTGTTGTGTGTGAACAGTGAAGGGGGTGAAGTCTGCTATCTCTGATTCCTTGTTCAAGAAAATACAATGACAGTTTATTATGATTAAGTACAAATTATGATCCCACAAGGTCAAAACCAAGAAGAGAGAAAGTCTTATCATAGAGTGTACATCAATATAGCAATCATTCCAACCAATCAGAGAGCACAAATGTAATTAGATTATCAATCATGAAACCTTACCAGGTGGTTTGTCCACGTTGTTGGAGAAGATCCAGTCAGCAGCCTTCTGTGCATCTGGGCCAGTCAGGTAGTACTTGCCAAAGTAGGACATGTTGAACACTGCTGCCCTCTCTCTACAGGCCACACATTCCTTACCAATCTTACATACAGGAAGAGAAGGAGCATTTTCAGAACATATCATGGGCAAAGGTGATAAAAGGAAATCTCACAGGTTTAAGTTCAGGGACTCAATTTTGCAATAGCAGGAAACACATCTTTAAAGTTCACAGTGAGCACACAGAGTAACATCTCTGGAAAAATTATGTTATGGAGAAATCATTGTCAAAATTGAAAACATAAAACCACTCCGAATGAATACTTAAAATATCTACACACACTTAAAAGAATTTACAGACAAGTAAAGGAATAATAATACATGTACTGGTGGTACAATTGAAAAAGAGCAACTGCGTGTACCTGTCTTGTGCTCTGGAAAGAAGACATCATTTTGGTTGTAAAATATCCAAAGAGTGTATACATATACTCACCACATCATGGTGCTCGGGAAAGTCAAAAGTATAGTCATCTCTCAGTCTGTCATTGTACAGGTTTACTTCATTGCCTGGGATCTCTTCATAAGCACCATAATAGTCATAGTTTGGGATCTACAGAAAGACATTAGAAAATATTATATTATTTCATTTTCTGTTGTTATATATATATATATATATATTCTGCTGATTGTTGTTGACAGCTGGGTTTGCAGGGCCTGAAATACTAGTACAAGCTATGCAGATCTAGATCTGTGCCAGATAAAATGGTGCTGTGCAGGCATTTCTGATGATTACATGCACTTAACCTACACTGAACTGAACTAACCTGCACTGGTCCATGACAAGGCAAGCATGCAACATTAGGGTGACATACTGATGATAGTTCCCCTCAAATGCCTTGCACTTTTCCATAGTAGCATTCTTTAATACAGCAGATGCCACAATTTAAAATGGTACAACATGTTCTAGGAACATCTTCAAAATACTGTGTGTTTTTTAAAGGATAATCTAAAGAGGAATAAAAATGGGTGGTGCAGGTTTAACTGTGTCTGGTACACGTAACTTTTAACCAGTACAGGAATCCAGAATTAAGTATTTCAAGCCCTCGCTTGTGTCCAAGAAAAAAACATGATTGTCACAGAAAAATGTATGAACCTTTGATCAGTGATTGCGTGGGTACTTGCAAATGTGGAAATAACACAATAACAGGACATGTCGGTTCGCTGACCGTTTGCAACATTTAGAGTAGATAAAGTCAGTTGACTGTAAACATTGGATAAAGGCACTGATGCATCATGTGTAAATGTTTCTCAGAATTGGTCTAAAGCTAGGATACGTTAAAGGGTCATGGACATTGCTTCGCCCCAAAATGAGATACATGTAAATGATTGTATAAATACAAGTACTAGTAGTAATGATTAATTGGTGACTCAAACCTGTAGCTGTAACATACACTTTACCCCTGCTACATTGTAAGGCAAAGACCACACACAGACACCAACACACAAACATGTGTGCACACACATTAGTATTGAAGCACAGGACACATGCATGCCCGTATGGTTCGGGAGGTTCGGAAGAACCCCCCCACAAGGCTCAAAGGTCCACTTTTTGGTCCACTTTTTATGTAAAGGTCCACTTTTTGGTCCACTTTTTATGTAAAGGTCCAAGATTTTTCTTGAAAAGATGGACTTGAATCGTAGAAAAACTGCTCCCTTTGTCATTGAATAAAAATTTATCTCTAAATGTCTAATTTTTTCTTGGAAATCCTCTCAAAAACGCACAAAATGACATTTTAGAAGGTTCATTTTTCAAAATTTCCCGGGGGAGCATGCCCCTGAACCCCCCTAGGAACCTTGCGCCCTCCAGGTCCTCTCAAGCAGTGGGAGGAACCCCCCATTCAAAATCCTGGCAACAGGCATGACATGTGCAGTTGTACTTACAGGAGTGGGTCCCTGTGGTGTGAAGTATCCAGGTCTCTCCCAGCCATGTCTCTCCTGAAACACACACCCTGCTTCCAGCAACACCTGTAGGAAAAACACTGGTCAACACTTCAGGACAACCCTGTAAGTAATTTAGTACAAACAAAACAAACAGACACACGTGCCATGCTACTTTCCTTGTTTGTAGTCTAAATTGTGAAAATCATTCAGAATTATTGGATAATGTCAGTACACATAAAATAATGTATCTTTGTGCAATAGCCATATAAAAAATTTGGAGCAAGAGGTTTTTACCAGAGGAACCTAGAAGAATGCACAACAACAACGCTGCACAATTCCACAAAATGTATTGCTTCAAAAATGCAGGGATTGCCTCTGAGTCAGCATTTTAGCCAGCAGCCTGAAATATTTTTCCATCATTTTAATTTTGTTTAACAGAACATTATGTGGAGCACCAATATTAGGGGGGTCCGGGGGCATGCTTCCACAGAAAATTTTGACATCTTGACCCTCTGAAATATGCTATTTCCTACGTTTTAAGGGGCAAATTTTGCTGGTAGACTAGGGTTATTAGACTAAGTATAATCATCTCTTTCCACATCCTTACACACCAATTTTTGTCCATCAAATATGACAGATTGGGCAAAACTTTTGTCTGTCATGAGCAGCACAATTCCATCAAATGACAGATGCTGGCTAGAACACTGGATTACCTCATGGAAAGGGTCCATCCTGGAGTTCCTAGCAGCAAGTGGTTCGTCGTGTGGGAAGACTATGGAGTAGTTCTTGGCGTACGACTCGTGGCTGCGTTCCCTTATCCAACGGTCGTCACTAGTTTGACAGGTGGGAAAACGCCTGCAAAGAAGAAAGCATTGGATCATACAATTTCACTGTACAACTACAAAATACAAATTTTCCATTATCTAGAAAACCACCAATTACACTAGTCTTTCTTCTACATTTGCACAAAGTTACCACAAGATTTGACAAGTACAGTGAGTAGAATTTTTTCTTCAGTTATGTTTAAAGGGACTTGAATATTTAGCAGTAGGGGGAAGGAGGAGTTTGCAATGTTTCAAATTTGACATGATGATCTTGCAATGGAGAAGTCACCACAAACTACCTTCAATATGTCAAGTGTAGAAAGGTGCTAGAAAATTTGACAAATCTCAGACATTTCAACTCACCTACATTTATAAACTGGTTGCCCCCGTTGGGGAAAGATGTACACAACAGAAATTTGAAAAGCAATGATCAGCTCTGTATCCCAATAGCATTTCCCCAACAGATATAAGAACAGTCCCATATCCAATATATACTTCACTTCGCTTTTGAACAATGTCAACTTATCCATCATTGTGTGATAAATATCATTGTGATTAATTTGTCTGATTATTTTAATTATTAAGTACTTGTATAGATGTTTATATTATAATTAGTTTTCTTCATTTTTGTGTCTGCCTAAAAATCATGCATAATTCAGCGACTTATACTATGTATAAGTGGCTGCAAGGTATTTTAGTATATTGTTATGAATCGAAACAATAATCTCAACAAATTAGAGTTTTTAACCAAATTAAAAACAAATTACAAACAATACCTGATGTCTTATCTTGACGTCATGGAAGCAGTGGATTGTTCATTTCCTGACAATGACTGGAGTTGTACAGTCAAAAATTTGGGTGAGTCCAATTTCTTGTGTTGGAAATTACAGTTTAAACTTGCTGCACAATACCTGATGTCATAGCCGTACATGTCCAGTGTTGGGCGTCCGTTGACGACCCATCTGGCCAGCTCCCGACCACACCCTCCTCCTAACATCATCCCAGAACTGTTGAACCCACAGCCGAGGTAAAACCCTCGCACCTCAGGAGACTCTCCCATCAACGGCTTGTGGTCTGCTGTAAAGGACTCTGAAAATGGAGAGAAACTCATAGAATCTATCTATTACAATAAGTGATAAAAATCTCCACTGGAAAATGGACCACTGGAAGAATAGCTACATATAAGCTAAATGCTAAAGATAAATGTGGATCCAAACAAAGTCAAATCTCCAAGCCTTTTGATAGCTGTAAGAAAGCGTAAAGGCCGCATAGTGTTTCTGAGGCTGTAGGTGCAGTAGGTTGTTAATTCACTTGGATTATGGATACAGTATTGGAAGGCAGGGCACATTCATCTGGCACAACTTTTTACCTCCCAAACTAAAGTCATGCAGGCAGTCCGTTACACGCATGTGAAGTAACAAAGTTGTGTGAAAGTACAATATTCTTTGACACACCATCTTACTATGGCCCTAGCCCTAGCCCTAGCCCTAGCCCTAGCCCTAGCCCTAGCCCTAGCCCTAGCCCTAGCCCTAGCCCTAGCCCTAGCCCTAGCCCTAGCCCTAGCCCTAGCCCTAGCCCTAGCCCTAGCCCTAGCCCTAGCCCTAGCCCTAGCCCTAGCCCTAGCCCTAGCCCTAGCCCTAGCCCTAGCCCTAACCTCTCAAACTAGTGTCCACTAGCCTAACCATTTGGCTATTGATGCCACTATCATTGAAATTCATACTTAGTTGATGACAACTGACTGACTGTACAGACCTGGCCCACACACTGTAGACTTGATCCCTGTCCTCTCGATGACTGGAACCCTGTTCACACACCCCTCCACATGGACACTGAACACATCCCAGTCCAGCTCAAACAGACCAAACGCAAAGTCTTTATCCACCTAGAGTACAGAAAGACAACAAGATCAGAAAAACTGAAAACTGAATCAAACCTACAAGCTAAAATTTGTAAAAAGAAAGAGGTCTAGGTTTAAACTTCCATACTGACCTTGTCCCAAAAGACAGGGTTGGGTTCGTAGCCACCACAAGACAGGGCATCCCCCTGTAGTTTCAGGTACACGGAGGCGTCGTGGTCTCTGATGTTGGGCATGTTCTGGATGCCTTCTATCCTCTCAGTCACCACGTACGCATGGTGCATGGCGATCAGTGGAACAGCCACTCCTGCCATGCGCCCAATGTATGGTGACCACACACCTGTGTTGAAAAACATAAGGCAATAGGTTAACAATGATCCTGGAAAGACATTTTGACTATTCATTGCACAAATTCACAGGGTATAACCTATACAATAAAACTGTCAGCAGCTGACCAGTGAGCAATAGAGTACCACGATTTCCTCTTCTTGTATCCTCCAGGAAGATTGGCATGTAACCTAAGCTAGCCTTTCAGGTGGTACCTGGTCTAAAGCAAAAATTATCATCATGTTTGTTTGTTTAGGACCTCCATTTGTGCATTTTGCATTATTCTTCCTGGAGTCCATAGTGAATGTCCGTAGTTTTTTGTAAAATAGCACAGGGCATGCCCCTACCCTTTTTGAAAGGTGTGGTGGGTTCTTTAACGTGCGTGGGGTGTGGTTCTCCCCAAACACGGGACCTCCATTTGAGGTCCTATCTGAGGGATGTCCCTAGACGAAGCTAGGAACGCATTTCCACCTGAGTGAAGTGAGGAAAGTCATGTAAAGTGCCTTTCCCAAGGGCATCAGATCGGTGACAAGGTAGGAATCGAACTGAGGACCTCATGGTTCAGAGCCGAACACGCTACCGCTATGAAACATGACCCCACTTCCAATTAAGTCTAGGAATTGCCAGTGTGTAGAATAGCAACATTGAGGGTATCAAAGTAAACAATTGCCAAATGCTGCATTTGACAACGTGGTTTGTTTTTTCCAAACAGAAGACATTGTTACCTGCACAGTTGACTACAGCTTTGGTCTTAATGGTTCCATGTGAAGTCTCCACTCCAACGACTCTTTTGGTTCCGTAGTCATCCTCTTTTACCTGGATACCTGTCACTGAGCAGTTTTCTACCACCTGGGGAAGTACAGGCATGCTTTTACCTGATGAAGTACATGTACATTCACATTGTGTTTTCTATATATACTGTAAATTCTTTACTTTTCCGGTGGGTCTATTTTCTACATTAAAGGCTCAAAGTAATCTTCTGCAACAAATTCTCCCGCATTGTCTGGGCCTGTATGTTTCTTAGTTTGTCTTAATTGCTGTTATTATGTGTATTTCTCATATTTATTTTATATGGGCCATTTATGTCTGAAATAAGAGATCAAGACAGAAAATAGTGTTTTCTGCATATACAGTTATACAGTCAATTCTTTACTTTAAATTTGCACTTTCATTTCATGGTGGAAGAGAAAAGCAGATTTTTACTGTGTTTTAAATTTGCAGTTGAAGCAATTCTGTAGTACAGTTACTGTAGTAATATATCTGTGTCAGTGTCTTGACCTGTGTCCTACATAGTTCTCACTAGGCTGTTTGAGCGTAGGGGCCCCCTATGCTGTGATTTTGACCCCCTACGCTGTGATTTAGCCCCCTACACTGTGTTTCAACCAGCAAAGGGGTGGTTTTTGGGGGCAGAAGCTTCATTAATCTTTAAAAAAATGAAAATATAACTTAAGAATGAAGCTATAACAGAGGGAAAACAAAATCTGTCCCCCAATAAACAATAAATAGTGTCTTAAGTGGATAATATGAGTTACAAAATTTTGGGGGGAGAATATCAGGCCCATGTTTTGGGGACTCGGTGCGTGACTCACGCCGCAGAAAGTTGCCCTTCTATACCTGACCCCTACGCTGTGAAAAAATCCTGGTGAGAACCCTGCCCTACCTGTGCCCCTCCCTTTTTGGCAGCCCTGGTGAGAGTTGTGCAGTAGCCTGCTGGGTCGATGGTCCCGTCCCCCGGACTGTACAGCGCTCCGTACATGTCTGACACATTCATCAGGGGGTAGATCTTCTTTGTCTCCTCTGGCGACAGCACGTAGGACTCAATGCCATAGTTGCGCCCAAGCTGTTAGAGTAATTGTCACATTATTGGCATGAAAAAGAACACAAGAGGTGACAACACTACTGTCAACCCAAACTTGTCAAGGCAAAAGGCTCCTTTCTCTCAGTCCCTTCAAATTTTCCAACAGACTGTAAACAATGGCAGGGTATTAAACGTTTCTTTCTTGCCCTTAGAGTTAATCTGCGTTACTAGTATTTTTATCTTGAAAGTTCATCTGTGTTGGTGGTCATTCCTTGACAAAGACTTTAGTTGTAGTACTTGTACAGTCAAAAATTTGTTATTTTTGTGTTGGCCATTACAGTTCAAACTTGTTTTCAGTATTTTTATCAGTTTGCCTGGGGAATGTAGTAAGGAACTTACAAAACATTAACAAGTAAATCCTTTGGGCTGTGCAACAAAGAACTGTAAATACATATTGTCTATTGTTAGTGTCTTGTGGAACAGTGAGTCCTTACCGTCATGAGTCTCTGGTACTCGTCCAGTCTCTCCTTGTTGGAGGCGATGAAGATGCCTCCATTGTTGATCCAGCCGGTGTCTAGTCCTGTCTCCTCCCCCAGCACACCCTGGATCAGGTCTCGGGTGTGGTCCAGCAGCTCCACTTCCACATCATTGGGACGCAACCTCCACACCAGACCTGGAGGAGGTGAAAAAGAAGGCGAGAGTCATTTTTTTACACCAAAAGTTAGGTCCATTCTTTTTAATTTTTAAACCAGGATCTAGAATGCAACTGAAAACTGAGTTTGTAAAGCAGAATTTGTCATTCATTCATTTATTCATTCATTCAGTCATTCATTCATTTTCATTCATTCATTTATTCATTCATCCATTCATCCATTCATTCATTCACTCACTCACTCACTCACTCACTCACTCATTCATTCATTCATTCATTCATTCTTTCAACAGCTATCAGCAGCACATTAGTACCTGCTGTATGCCATGTTGTCCCAGCTGTGAGCTGTGCCTTCTCCAGGAGGACAGCATTGCTGACCCCCAGCTTGGTCAGGTGGTACAGCGTGTTACAGCCCACACTGCCCCCACCTATCACCACCACGTCTGCCTCCGACGGTACCGAGGACGGGCCCGTGGCGTCGTCAGACTTCAGCGTTGTCTCGTACGGGACACCAGCGGACGCTGACTGGCTGCAGAAACGTGCTGTGCATCTGCCCACCTGCTGTGCAAGTCTGTGCTGCACTCTCGCAAGTTGCCAGAGAGGCATGATGGGTAACTGGGCTAAGTACCTGTAAAAAAGACACTAGTAAATAATTTCAGGTTGCAAAGTGAACAAAATCATGTTCAGTTAGGTTCATACAAACACATGGTCTCATGTATGAGGATTTATAAGAAGTTGGTATATAGTGCATTTTTTTATGTTCTTCCATAGTTTCCATCGTATGCAGACTCAAAAATACTGCAAAGTACGTCAATGAAGGTTAGAGTTAGACATCCAGGTAATGCTGGGCTTGAAACACTGGGTCCATGTGCCCCTTAGCGCACCCAAATTTGGACTTGGAGCTGTGCACCTCATTTTTTTCTGTAGGTGCACCCAAATATTTTCATAGGTTTACGTGATGTAAAGATGTCAAATGTATAGTAGTCATAGTATACAGCATATACAACATCTTAGTGTCAGAAAAATATTACAAAATCATTGCTATAACGTTAGTTACAGTGTGCCTTTCTAAAAATGAAAGAAAATTAGTTTTTGCTGGTACTCTACTTATTTTACCTTGTAAGTTGTATGGTGCACCCAAGAAATATTTTGTTTAGGTTGGGTCCCAAAAATGAATTTCGAGCCCTGTAAATCAGATACAAATGTTTGTCAACAAAACCATTACCCTGGACCAAGGACGTTAGTACTAGAAATACAGATTACCACATGATCATGTTTGCTCTTATACTACTACTAGTACCATAATGTCCTTGCCCTGGATAGATTTTTAAAACTGTCCAATACTGTCCTTCTGAGAACAACGGGTATTTATCCAAAAACTAGATTTGGGACAGACAGGTATTTATCCAATAACCGGTTTTTGGCATAAAGATGGCACCTAGGTTACATGATCATGATTTATAAACCTTGCACTGATTTGGGACGCCATGGCCAGCGAGTAAAATTGAGCCCCGTTACAAATGTTTGGGGCTTACAAAGCCAACACGAACTTGCTAATGAATCTGCTACACTGGTGATTTGAAGTGAATCGCCAACTCCGAAGTACAGAATTTAAACCATCGCACACTGGGACGTGCCCCTACTTATTTTTCGAATAGCTAGAGTAGATTAATCGGGGGGTTTAAATCGTAAACATAACGGGCCCGTTACAACTGCGCATAATCTATAACAGTTCGTCGTAATTATATTTGCCTCTTCCATCGCAAAATGGATATATGAAGCATATATTCCGGGTATAGGGAGCGACATATTTACCTCCAAAAATGCTGACCCCTGGGGTTTATCCCTAAGCTAGCTGGTTTGACGAAGTGCGGCACCAGTTTAGACCGGTTTTCTTTCGCGGGCAGGAGTTTGTTTACGTCCGGCTGGAGGTCAAAGTTGACTATTGGGCGAGTTCATTAGATAGTAAGGGGCCATGGAGTTATTTAAAATACATATTAACACTAAAAAGTATGTACTATTGCAACATCTAGTTCATAAAAGAAGTTAATATTATTGATACAACTGTATCAAGTATGTAAGATACAAAATACTATATATATATATATTGAATCTGATGATTAACATGACATATAAGAAAACGATATGTGCAGACCCCCACAATGCAGATGAACTCTTCTGAAAAAAAGAATGCTAGACAAGGACAGCCCTCTAATGTATCCGTTATGTGGGTCACGACGGATCAATTTTTGTTTTGTTTGATAACGTTACACCGCATACTTTCGTACGGACCTGGTGCTCTGTGTAAGTGTTAGCTTGATAGGCCTGGTCTAGAAGGTATGGCAATGGAAGTAAAATGTTAGCAAAACAATGATACTGATAGAACGTCCTATGCCAAATGAATTTTATGGTTGACAAACATAGTTACTGCAAGAGGGTGAAAAAATCCCCCTCCCCAAAATACTGGTTGGTATATGCTCTGAAAATAAAGGGATTGCAAATGTTATCATAAAAATAAAACTGACAACATACTGAACACAGTGACATGTAAAAACGTGTTTTATTGCACAAAAGACACAGGGCAATAGTAGTCTGGTACAAAGTACATTTTGAACTACAAACCAGAGGCATGATCAGAAGTAAACACACACACAAAAAATCATACAAACTAGTCTGCATATCTATAATTTCAAACATAGTTTAAGTGAGCTGTGGTTCAATGTACTTTGTACAACTTACTGAACTTTTGTAATCTTTTGACAATATACCAGTAAATAAATATCGTCTTTGTGCGCAAAATCATTGGACTGGCCATTCTTAGGTACACCCTACTATGTATCTCTCACTTATCATTTCCATCAGCTGCCAGTCTGTTGAGTTCTTGAGATAGTTCTGTCACTTTCTCCAAGATCTTATCCTTGTCCTCCTCTTTTAACCTTGCTCCACATTTTTGTAGAAATCTGTCTGGATGCCACAAAACTTGCTGAGACTTAAGATACTTCTTAAAGTTCTCCTTGTCAGATTTGTCAACATCACAGAACAAAACCTTGACCATGTCCCTGATGTTGCCCTTAGTATTCGGCCATGGTATATCACTGTAACTAAGTGTTTGTAATGCATCCTGTTGAAAAACTTCACTACATTTCTTTTCGTACTCTTGCTTTTTAGCTAGAAGGGTTTCTTTGTCACGCCTGCTTGCTCTCTTTAGATATTCTTGGTGTTCTTTTTCTAGCTTCTTCTGGAAGTCTTCTTGTTCTTGCTGTTTTTGCTTCTTCTTGTCTTCTGCTGACAGTGTTTCTTGTTGTGCTCTTCTTTTACGGTGTTTCCTGTGGAACTGCTCGGACAGTCTGTCAGCCCAGGTGTCATACGTGTCTGCTTCTCTCTCTTCTACATCTGAAGAAAAAGAAATGCATAGACTACTGTAAATTCATTTATTTTCAATATGATTTAATATCAAGGTAGAAAGGGAAAGGAGGTTTTCCCAGTGTGTCAAGTTCAAGGTTGAAACAATTCTGCAGTACAATAGTCATTAGTCAATCATGAAACCGTGAAAATAAACCCAGCACAAACATTTCTACTGCAAGGGTCTTTCATTGACAATAGTGACTCTGAAAAGATTCCTCTAAAAACTTTTCACACCACAAAACAAGTATTCCTACCAAATCAAGGTTTTATACACAAACAGTACTGAAATATACACTCACCTTCAAATATTCCCCAGTTTGCTTCATATTCATCTTCCCATTCTCCACACAGCTTTTCCCTCCATCGTCTGTCTTCTTCTGCTTTGCTTTCCCTTTCTTCTTTCCTCATCTCTTCCTGCAGAAGAATTTAATGTGAAGCATGAAAACTGAAAATGCTCAAGTTACTCTACTTCAGACATAAAAACTTTAAAAAAGCAGGGATGTGTACGAGTATAGATCAGCCATATTTATTTAGTCACAGCAAGTAATTTTATGGATGACATTAGCACGCGCATTAATTTTTGCCCGATTTTGGGAAGAAAAAGAAATTTTGTTGCCCTCACACAGTGTTTAACATGCCAAAAATGGGCAAAGATGTCTGTTGCCATGCCAGAATGTGGATGGCAGATAAATATGAAGAAAGGAGACAAGGCCCTGATTTAATGTTTTGTCTTTTACTTTGATGCAGTGATGTATTTCATTTCTTTTATATGTGATGGTGGCTGTGTATAAGTGATGTTCCTACTGAGTCAAAATCATTTGTACAATGATTGAAAACTTTTATTTTTCAAAGTTGTTTCAGTGAGAAATTAATTTTGTAATAGTTGGCAGTAAACACAAGATAGGTATCATATCTTGTTTTTTCGCCCTGTTGCATTAGATTTAGAGTCTGCAGAAGATGTCATCCATCAAATTTACTTGCTGTGGCCTAATGTCCAAATACAGTACCTGTTTGTCCTCTGCTGCCCTCTGTTCCATCAGTTCTTTGCTCTCCTCCAGTAACTGTTGGGGGGTTTCTCCTTTCCTGTTTCTCTGGTGTAGAACTTTTTCAGGGCATTCCTTCAATAGGGGCATGACCATGTCATAGTAGCCTGGGAATGGAAAAAGTAAGTAACATATTTTAATTTTGTGGGGTCTAAGGAATTATGACAGCACTACACAATTTAGCCAGTGGCTCTTGGAGGACGTACTTGCTTCTACATCCGTATCAAGTTTCAACCTCCTTGGATATACATTGTACACTTTACAAACAAATACAATTAATCTGAGAATTGGAAAAGACACTGGCTTTAGCAATGTTGAGTATACTCTCAATGTAACTATGGCATTGTGACTTGTAAGATCCAAATCTGGTGATGGGATGGGTTAACCAAGGAGCTTTCTTGGGTTAACTGAGGACATGAGTCATCAGGAAGTTTGTTTTCCATGTTTCAACGTGTTGTGAAACCATGGCTCTTTTATAACCCCGATGATGACACCCTATGTGGAACTACTAGTAGTACGTCTTCCAGTCAGAAACATACGACAGTGAGCTAGGATTATCCCTGAAGAAAAGTTCGTTGTCGAAGAAGAACGTTGAATCGCCAAGGACGAGAAAAATAAGGTTAGTAGCTGTGTTCAAGGAGGTCCTTGCTGTGTTGGAGGTCAACCCCAGGTCACAAGAAGTTTGCATACCATGTACGTTGCCTTTCAGGACATCCAGCAGTGCCAGATGAAGGGGAGTGTTTCCATCTGTGTCCACCACGTCTGTGTCAGCTCCGTGTTTCAGTAAGATCCTCATGCAGGCGTCTTCTCCGAGAAGACAGGCGATGTGTAGCGGCGTTCTCTCCTTCTCGACTCGCAGAGAATTCAAACGAATTTTACCGCTATGTTTCCTGAGATATGACTTCACTTTGTGAACTTCTCCCGCCTTCAAGTACTCCAAGAATTTCTCAACTCTTGACCTCCCCATGGTTTGGTCCGTAAGGCATCAAAATTACTTCCCCAGATGAAGTAAACTTCATGAATTATTCACAACTGGAAGTTACAACTCCCGAAAAAAAATTCATCGTCTGCCATGATGGCTACGTCATGCCATCTAGCGAGAGATAGCGAGATTTTCCGAGACCAGAAGGTTCTAGAAAAAATAGGGGTTTAATAAACAGAACATAAAAGTATTAATTCTTGTAGTGAAAATATCCCAGTTTTATGTCGTGACTTATACCTAAAGATACATATAATCTAATATATATTTACTGATGTATAGGGGTATGAAGTACTATCCTTGGAATATAGCTGTAAAATATTGTAAGACAAACTAAGTACCCCTTCATCTGAATGGTATAGTCGACTGCACCACATCATTTTCCATTGAACCTCAGCTCGAGGGAAGTGATCTTCGAAAACAACTCTTTTAGTCAACAAAACGCTGAAACGGCGTGCAAAATTTCACCTTCCAGGTTTACGTGACACCAGATAAATCTCCAACCAGCAAGATGGCCGAGTCTGACTGGGATACGGTGACTTATTTGAGGAAGAAGCCGCCAACTGCGAAGCAAGCTCGCTCTCAGCAGGTCAGTTGAACGATCCATCCATCCGGGAATTGAGGTATGGCTTGGTCTAGAATATGGTAGGACGGCCACGAAAGACGGCCACGCCGCTATTGGTCAATTTCTCAGCAAGCTCCACGCTGCTATTGGTCGGGGTATCAGCTGCTGCAGTGAGGGGTAGCTAGCGGTGGGGAGGGCTGCCGGCGTTTATCCACAACTTTTAGGGGCAAAAAAACGTCAACCTTTACGACTATAATCACTCCACTTTGGTGGATAAGCCACAAACAGTCATTTGTGCGGCTCTTAGCTCTGGAAACCTTACAGGTAATGACTACGTGAGGGAGTTGGGTCTAGATATTACGTTACCAGTAAAACGCCGTACGCGTACGCGTATACGGGAAATACTTTCCATGGGCCTTTCATAATGTAGGGACCAGGTAAGGCACCGTACAGGTGATATTTGCGTGGCCCTTTCATCTGGGGAGCAGGTAAGGCACCGTACAGGTAATATTTGCGTGGCCCTTTCATCTGGGAACCAGGTAAGGCACCGTACAGGTAATATTTGCGTGGCCCTTTCATCTGGGGAGCAGGTAAGGCACCGTACAGGTAATATTTGCGTGGCCCTTTCATCTGGGAACCAGGTAAGGCACCGTACAGGTAATATTTGCGTGGCCCTTTCATCTGGGGACTAGGGAAGGCACCGTACAGGTGCTATTTGCGTGGCCCTTTCATCTGGGAACCAGGTAAGGCACCGTACAGGTAATATTTGCGTGGCCCTTTCATCTGGGGAGCAGG